AAATCTGGACACAAAATCTCATAAATGGGAAGCTTATTTTGTATAAACAGAGTAGCAAGTATGAAAGGGAAACACATCTATTTCCTGCAATTTGTAATTGAAGGGGGACAGGGTACTCGGAGTACATTTTTTAAACACACCAGATATTTTGCAATCTCCAAAAAGTACATCTGGCCAAAAAAAATTCATGAATGAGGAGATCATTTTTTTAAATAAGAAGAACAGCAAGTATGAAAGGGGTACACAACTATTTCCAGCAATTTGTAATTGAAAGGGGACAGACTCAGACTACATTTTCAACTATATTTTACCATTTTCTATGGAGTTTGCAAAACTAAAGAGAGACACTCAAAATTTCATAAATGGGGAGCTTAATGGTTTCTTCAAGTTTAAAATAGAAAGTATCAAAAGGATATAAAACTATTTCCAGCAATTTTTAATTGAAAGGGGGCAGACTGTAAGTACATTTTTCAACTATACCCGTTATTTTTGTAATTTGCAAAATTATAAGGAGACACTTGAAATCTGGACACAAAAGCTCATAAATGGGAAGCTTATTTTGTATAAATAGAGTAGCAAGTATGAAAGAGAAACACAACCATTTCCTGCAATTTGTAATTGAAAGGGGACAGGGTACTCGGAGTACATTTTTCAAATACACCAGTTATTTTGGAATCTCCAAAAAGTACATCTGGCCAAAAAATCTCATAAATGAGGAGATCATTTTTGCAAACAAGTAGAACAGCAAGTATGAAACTGGTACACAACTATTTTCAGCAATTTTTAATTGACAGGGGACAGACTCGGAGTACATTTTCAACTATGGTTTACAATTTTCTATGGAATTTGCAAAAATAAAGAGAGGCACTCAAAATTTCATAAATGGGGAGCTTAATGGTTTCTTCAAGTTTAAAATAGAAAGTATCACAAGGATATAAAACTATTTCCAGCAATTTTTAATTGAAAGGGGACAGACTCTAAGTACATTTTTTTTCAACTATACCCGTTAGTTTTGTAATTTGCAAAAATTAAAAGGAGACACTCAAAATCTGGACACAAAATTTCCAAAATGGGGAGCTTATTTTTATATGAAAGTATGAAAGAGAAACACAACTATTTCCTGTAATTTGTAATTGCAAGGGGACAGAGCACTCGGAGTACATTTTCCAACTACACCAGGTTTTTTTTTAGAATTTGCAAACATTAAAGGGAGACACCGACATCTGCATGGACACAATATCTCATACAAATTGAGCTCTTTTTTATCAAAGATCACCATGTATGACAATTAAGGATGCAAAACTAATTCCTGCAATTTATATTGCAAGGGGGCAAACTCTGAGTTCATTTTTCAACTAGATTTTTTTTTTTGGGGGGGGGGCCGGGCTAACTGTTATTTTGGAATTTGCAAAATGTAAAAGGAGACACTCTAAAACTGGACACAAAAATCTCATAAACTGTGATATATTTTGTTTACAAATAACAAGAGGAAGTAGCAAAGGGATACACAGTAACTATTTCCTGGAATAATTCCTAAAAATTGTCCACTTACCTGGGAAATTGTTTCTGACTTACCAGAGGACAAATTCTGAACTTGTCCACACGATAAATTCCACAGGAAAAAAATCCACTAGGGCAAAACATAACATGAAATCCAGGACGCTGAAGTTTGAGGTGTTTCACAGTTTTAGTTCACAGTCAACTCATGCATTTATCTCAGTTTCTTGGTTCAGTCTTGTCTACTCCGATTGAGATTGTCCCAGATAAAACAAATGCAAAGTCAAAGTTGATGACAGTTTTAGATACCATTCCTCAAATCATGGAGGCATGCATAGATGCTCAAACTAAGTCTGTGGAAAGTTCAGTTAAAGTTTTAGTTCAGTATTTCACTCACAACAATTCCATAGACAGAACCCGGTAGTAAAACTTGGGAGTGCTGCGAATTTCCAAAGAACAGCGACAGGATCATGAGGGTGGATCCCCGGCCGTGGTTCATTTTCCAAAAAAAGGTTTCATGGGGGTTCAGTTAAAGTTTCTGTTCCGTATCAAGTCTAACTCACGACACATGCAGGGTAGAAGCCTGAGAACTGAGTGAAGAACTTGGAGTGGAGGAAAATCCAAAGAGCAACGGCAACGCCAGCGAGGAAAAATCCGACCGCAGTTTGAACCATCATCGCGAGCCGTATCCGCACCGCTCTCAGCTCCCGAGCCGTTCCATCTCCCGACCGTAGGCACACGGTTGAAGCTCGCTTAATTCCCCAACGAAACACTCCAACGAATTCCACAACTCCACGCTGAAAACATCCCACACACTATACCCTTGAAGTTAGTGAGATAAGTACTTTTGTACATTCGAAAAATCCGCTGAAAATGGCTTCCTTTTTTCAGAGAAAGAAGAGTGCAGGCCCATTCGTTCTGAACTTTCAGCACAATAATATTGCTGCATAAAAAAATGTTCGCGCTTAATGGCAAAAAGCAGACGATATTAGTGAGTGATTCGGCTAGGTATTCATTTTACACGAAAATGACGAGACTTACAGAAATGTTCATACGCGGCTTGACTTTTCTACCAAATCAAAAGAATCAATTTATTTCAATACAATTTTAACTAGTCGTAAGCCTGTAAGCTTAGTTTGCAGAACAAAGCAAAAATTTGTTATTTTGACACACAAAAAATCACCGTATTTTGATAAAACAGTTCGGCCTATTTTCTTTAAAGGAGGAGAGATATATCAAAATAAAACCAGCTGAGCTCGACCTCGTCCCCAGCTAGGGCTTGCTTTCTTTTTAATCCCCGTTTCAGGTAGTAGTGGGAGCGTACGTACTGGGACGAGGCTGTGCTGAGAAGGTCACGCACTCCGCGTCGAGAGTGATTCCTATTGGTCGGAAGTGGTCAGTAAAGGTTTTGATTGACAGGTGGAAACTGACTTTGCTTACGTAATGTTTTCAAAACCTCTACTTCATTCCAGGTTCGGCTTCATCGACACCAGGCTTCAGTATCCAAACGGGTCTTTGAAACAAAAAGTATGTTTTATGCTTTTATTTTTACTGGCTTCATTATAGTATTGGATTACGCATAAGCTGAACGAGCCAGCCTGAGCCAGGGTTTCCAAGTCGACAACCTATTTTCCCAAAGCCACATTCGGCGATCGAACCCAGATTTCGAAAAGCCCCAATATTAATGTACGTTGAACTCCATACGAACGGTTGCCTACAGGCCATATCACGATTTGCGTGCCCTCAAATGTCCTGCTTTTAGTAGAGCAAATTTGTGCCGCGCCATGAACTTGAGGGAACAACAACGGGTGGAAGTCGTGATCAGGACTGCCAGTTATAACCCCAGTTTTGGCTGAACCTCCCTCCCCACAAGTTATTTATAGAGCATTCTTAATTTTCCCAGTTTTTACTCGCAGCCCAACCAAGCGACCATTTTAATAAGGCAAAAAAAAAAAAAAAACATGTTTAGCGTCCTGCCTCTTTGACAAAAAGGAAGGAGGAGGCCCTTTTTTTTTTTTTTTTTCTTCAAAATGGCCGCCCGACACATTTTTCAAGACAACGCGGCCGGGCTATTTTTCAAGATGGTTACCAGCTTTTTTCAAAATGGCCGCCACTTGGACTCAGGAAATGACATATTGGCTTCTTATGGGCAAGATGCAACAGAAAATGAGACCAAAATGATGTAACTATGCAGAACCGAACATCTCTTCTGCGCAGAGATCGTTAAAATTTATCAATTTTTGTCTTTAAAAAAAAAAAAAAAAAAAAAAAAGGAGGAGGCCTCTAAAAAGGAAGCGGGCGGGGACGCTAAACATGTTTTTTTTTTACTTCGCCTAATGTGTCTTTTTTGTGAATTAGAGGCGCAAACGCAACACAGCAGTGAAAATTACTATGGCTCTGCTTGTTGGTCTCCTGGTTGAAAAGCGCCGAAAACAAATTCATCTTTCTATTTTCGGTGTAGTCGCGAAAGAGCTAACATTGAGTGGCAAACAATTGGTTGTCAGCATTTTTTTAAGTGACAAAAAGTTTCTTCCTTATAATAATTTTGTGGTCATGATTATTTTTTTTTTAATCCATTGAAAGTTTAAACACATGAGTTGACAAAGCTGTCTCGATGATCAATCCTCCATGTTCGGATTCTTTTTCTTTTCCCTTCAGTTTTGTACCCCGAAAAATTGCATTTTCAACTCTTTCTGAGGGACTGGAGCCAGCTTGCTTTACAATTTACAAAAGAAAGAGGATGAGCGAGAAAAATTACGCCCGTTATGATATGCGGAGATAGTAGTCTGGTTCCCAGGCCAAAAGATTCTGACAGTTTCGACCTTTCTAATGTTTGTAAACATTGGCGCCATTTTCTATGGGCTGCCGCAAGCGCATAAATTGAATTCTTGGTTGACAACATATCTTTCCAAAAAAAGTCATTATACCGCCCTCAATACGTAGGAAAAGGGCATACTTATAAAGAATTTTGTAGTTTTATTGATATGTTGTATTGTTAACATTCAACCAATATTTTGGTCATTTTAAATAACTTGTCTTCATTTTTGCAGTGCTGGACCTTCCATAGTTCTTCTCAGCCGTAGCCGTAATTCGTGCGCAGCAAAGCGACAAAAGCCAATAATGATGGCAGGAATGGGAACAGTCTAGCATTGACTGACCTTTTACAACCTCGTTCCCAAGCTGTTAGTTATCGATAAAGGTACAGTCCAGCACTAAAAATAAAAACAAAACAAAAAGATGTTTACTTCTTGAAATGAGGTAAATTCGAAGCTGCAAGCAGGTAATCATAATTAAATACTTAAGTTTATGTCACAAAACTAGAATAAAGAGAATGGAGATAGTAAAAATCTATCAGACGAGGATTCACAAACTGTCAAAGGTACAAGATCCTATCGCGCTATTTATCGCATCAACCAATCAGAATGAGGCAAACTTGTAGCCGATACTCTATTCCTGTGATCATTATTTGAAATCGAGTAGACGTGAACCCTGGGAAGGTCTGTACAATTCCATGACATAACGAGGTCGATCAAGCGAAGCTAGCTGGCCAGGCGTACACAACAGCTGATGTGCTGTTTGTCTTTTCGAGGAAAGAAACATGCCGAAGAAAAGCAGCGTTGTTGTGACTGGTAAGAAGGAATTGTTTTCAAGATTTTGCTGGCGACCTGCTTACATTCTTGGCTTTAAACATTGGTGGATTAAACTACTGATCGTCCGGAAAATATCCATGTGATTGTGAATCATGAAAAATTACAATTGACATTCATGCAAGTTGAGTTGAGCATTTAATAATACGTTGCTGAGACAAAAAAAGAGTTCTGCTTCCGGTATTTTGACAGCCTAGCCCCTGGCCCTACCCTAATTTGTTGGGGTGAAGTAGCCCCATAAATGTGGCCTATTTACTGGACTGCCTCCGTAAACATAGGCCACACATCCACATGTACAAAAATCGTGTCGACGGAGCCAAATTTTGATTTTCACATTTAGGCTTAGTTTGTAGGTTTTTTTTGCTTTAGAAGCATACTCACCCTCTTTATAGGCTAATCAGAAAGTGCTGCCTTTTTCAGATGTCTAATTTTTGTGAAATTTCATGTTGAAATTTTGATACGCAAACGTGTAAAAATGAATCTGGAAATTTCACGAAAAATATACATCTGAAAAAGGCAGCACTTTCTGATTAGCCTATAAAGAGGATGAGTATGCTTCTAAAGCATAAAAAAACCTACAAACTAAGCCTAAATGTGAAAATCAAAATTTGGCTCCGTCGACACGATTTTTGTACATGTGGATGTGTGGCCTATGTTTATGGAGGCAGTCCAGTAAATAGGCCACATTTGGGGCTAGGGGTGAAGATGAGTGGAAAAAAAACAAAGATATCAATTACTAACTTTGGCGATCGTGTAGTGTAGGGCCCCTGTTTTGTTTCGATCAAATAATCAAGATTTTTTTTAAATTTTATTACTAATAGTAGTAAAAAATGACATTCATGACATTGTCATAATTTAATGTCAACCTAGACCTATCATGCCTATATGCTAAAGCAGTTTCTTGGGGTAGAAATTACGATTTTCCTACGCGGTTTACGGGCCGGTTGGTGCCATGCAGCGCGACTTGCTTGCTTACGCGATAACGGTACATCGGGCGGTGATCGCCATTTCTATTTTTGTGTTGCGTTTTGTCGTTATCATCGTCATTTATTTTACCCCCAAATTTCCCTAAAACGTTTAAAGCCCTGCCATTATCTATGACGTACCTATAAGTTGTGAATGTCGCCAACTAGTTTGGGTAGTCAAATAATTTAAAAGTGGATTTTGTTCCCTTAATAAAGGAACCAGGCCCATAGATACACGATCGCAATTTTGACAGCCCCTACCCTAATTTTTTGGGGGTGTAAATGAGGGGGGAAAACCAAAAGACATCCTAACGTTTACCCTTGCCTTGGCCCTTGACTACACGCCGACAGTGATCATACACAAAATAAATTGCCAACCAAAAAAATATGTCCCTACCGTACCTACCCTATTTTCAAATGCCATGTAATCGGAAGCAGCACTATTTTTTTTGGCCTGATCAATAATATTTCAAAACTGGTCAGGCGAAGTTTCATCCTCATGAACACTGTTTCTTGCCTTGGTGTAAAAAAGCAGGGTGATTGTATAGTTACGTGCCTGACCCCTTTTCACCTTTGGTCAAATTACATGTAGAGTCGAGGAAAAGCACGGGAATTTTTTAATATTTAAAGAAGGGCACTTTTTGAACATTAATCAAAAAGGGATGTCAAATAGTTTCATACATTTGAAAGAAGAAAAAGTTGCACAAAATATGGTTCCAAGTAAGGTGCATCTCATGGTCCCTTTAATTAAGTGGCTGCAAACCCATTCTCTGTACAAACACTTCAACCCTAACCCCCTACTACTTCCTCAGTGCTACCCTGCTAAATCCAACAGAGTCCAACCGGACTTTCCTGTTCAATCCACTGTGCCTTATTTTCAGTTGTCTGCTGAATCCAACGGAGTCCAACAATGCGTTATAATGCGGTTCAGTTGCCTGCTGAATCCAACATTTTGCATGAGGAATGTACACAAGGGGTTTCCTGCTCAATCCAACAGGCTCCATCGCTTATGTGACTTAGTTGGATCCTGTTGGATTCAGCAGGGCTAGGGTTAGGCCCAAAAACAAGTCTTCAGTTTCTGGTATGGAGTGGTGCGGTGACGCGTTTTTTTGTTTGGTTTTTTTTTACTCTTTTTTTCTTCAAATGTCGGCTGATGACTACAAATGGTGCCCGACTAAATTTAGTGCAAAAATATATGGGAGCCAAGAGAGGCCACACAAAACTTATACATGTACTCGATCGTAACACCATCCAAAAACACATTATAATTGTGCAGCAGCAGGATTCCAGTCAAACCAGTGAGTTTGGCAGTTTTGAGACATCATCTTACTATTTTGTTTACATTTAAAAAAAAGATTTTAATTTTGCCGATGCGCGCCCCGCGCATGGCTACGGCGACGCGCGTGCAGACCAGAAACCGGAGCCTTTTTTTTTTGCCTTACCAAAAAATGATTGAATCGTTTTCTGCAATTTAGCTGAAACCTAATGTGAATGATGTTGTTTCACTGTACTTCAAGGTTTTGGTCCCTTTTGGGAGCACAAGGTGAATGCCAGTTGGAAGGCGGTGCAGGAATTACAGCGACTCGGTCTTGAAGATGAAGACGTTGAACTCATCACTTTAGAAATCGCAGTGGAATATGAGACAGCTAAGAAGATGGTGCCACAGCTATGGAAGGAGTATGACCCATGTGTAAGTGTAAACTCCTGTGGGGGCTGCTGTATGTAACATACCGAATATTCCAACTGAAACCTTAAAACCTTGGCATGTTATTGGAAGCAGACCTTCGTTTTTTACCTTAATCAAATACTATAATTATATTTACTTTTGCAGAACCAATGGCATTGCTGAAATTAATGTGTGTACAGTGCTTTTATATGCAAACTTGTGCATTTCATTAGGGCTGTTCATCGGAACTCGGTACCCGAGTACCCGACCACTGATGTCAGGAACCGGTTACAGATTTACTGAACGGGTACCCATAACCAACTTAACAAATTACTTATTAACTTCTCAGACAATGAAACATAAAGGTTTTAAGTGTCCTGTGTGGGGAATTTTCGAAGTTAAAATCAGACCATTGCTGACGGTAGGGAAAGTTGCAGTTTTCATCATAAAGCTATAACACTCACTCTACGCACATGAACTGCTGCATTGATGCACTGATCTGGTACTATTATCGCGTGGACCTAGAAACTGCAGAGATTGGATTTTTGGGTTTGGGTTTCTTTAAGGGTACCCGGATACTCATGGTTATTTTTTTCCCAATTGGGTACCTTGTTCCCATACTACCCGTAAATGCAGTAATGCACTCTTATATGGCTTAGGCCAAATACTCGGTCTCTGGTCAGTGCGCGCGTCGATTTTAATCATGCACGTCAACCTTTTTTTGCTTTCTTCAAATTAACACGGAAGCTACAACAGCGCCCTCTATTGCAGCGCATCCTCAATTTTATGTACCAAGGAGCACCAAGGAATGTGGAAATTGCACCAAGGCAAATGATAAAGGCCACCGAGGCAAATTATGGAGGACACCAATGTATAATGAGGACACAAAAAAGCAAAATAGTACCCACCTGGTCTGTACAATACAAGCTTGGAAAAAAAAAAAAGCCACCCCAAAAAAAAAAAAAAAAACGCGGCGCCGCATCAATTCTGGAACTTCGGTCTGACCAGAGATCGACTATTTTTTTTTTTTTTTTTGGCCTTACTACATTTTGTACTTTTTTTCCAGACAATTACATGTACATGTATGTATGGTAAAATCTTTTTGTCTTTCCTCTCGTTTTGGTCTCCAGCTTATGGTGCACGTCGGTGTGTCGGGCATAGCGAAAGAAGTCACGCTAGAGCAGCAAGCACACAACACGGGCTACGACAAACCAGACGTTGGATTTCACATACCTCAGTCGAAGGTAACTTGGCTGAATTTTTTTTTTAAATTTTGCCCATTGTTTGAAACTGGTGTTTACATTTATTTTGAGTTTTGGGATATAAGTGATGGGGACACAAACTTGATCTTTTTATAATTTATAATTCATTTATAATTGTCCATGTTATACACTGCTTCAATGTCTTCTATAGTTCAACTATAGTCAACAACCATTGCACATTCATCCATAACTGCATATTTACAAACATTTTTAACGAGAGATGTGGTAAACCATCTGTTCATTGTTAAGGTCATTATTTGTGATGCGATCAAGCTATGTGAGTCATTTGTCGACCCTGGGCAAAAAAAATTTATTACAGATTTGATAAGAGCACAATCTCAGCATTACTGATGTGAAAACCGCATGCTGATGCCATCTTTAGTTCAAAAATTATGGAAGTTGGAACACCAAGAGATGTGATGAAGTGGCCCTATTTTGGCCTGTATCTCCAAATAAAAGTTGAAGAAAAAAAATTCAATTTTGTAATTCATGTACATGTAACATTGCCAAAAAAAAGGAAGGTCGGCAATTTTTTCCCCCAAATTTTAATTTGTTACTGGGAATACATATTTTCACATACATAGATTGTATGCAGTACATACATATGTATACATACATAGAGGGCAACTGGACACGTAGATGTACTTGTAAGAAGACAAACATACCTTTTTGCATACTAACAAATATATGCCAGACTTGTACATGTAACTGGAGTACATGTTCACTTCCCAAAAATGTACATTTTTTGGGGGGGGGGGAGGTACATTTGTACGAATTAAATATTAAAAGAAAACTCAACTATGAAATAAAAGACGAAAGGTAAGGTTACCAGGAATACACAATTAGTTTTTGGGTCTTGTGCAAGACAACCATGTTGATCAAAAGGCTTATTGTTATTGTTTCAGTTTATTACTGTAATTTTGTTCCCCCCTTAACTTGTTGTTTTTGCTCATTAATACAGTGTTGTATTCGAGACGGCCCTGACTGTATACTCAGCCAAATCAACATGTCCGTCGTCTGTGATGAAGTCAACTCAACCGGTTGTCCCACCAAAACTGTTGTGTCTTACAATGCCGGAAAGTAGGTGTATGCGGTCTCTTTTTTTTAAACTTGGCATGAATGTAGTACATGTATGTGCAATTCACAATACAGGGTTACACCAGGCTTTGTCTGAGTGACAAACACCGTTTTTTAACTTCACATTGTACACGTTGTACTGCCCTTCATTGATAACATATGGTTACCAAACAGATACAAATTATGCATCAAAGATGTACTATTATTTATTTCTGACAACAAAACCAAGGATTCCTCAAAAGTGTCCTAGCAGGCACTGTAGCTTGCAACCCTGAAGAAACCTGTAGAGAGAAGACAATGAACAAAATTTCATTTCAGATGTGGAAAGAAAACCCCAGAAGAATATTCCGAGGGAAACCCAGAGAATCAGGGCAGGACTGAAAAGCAGATGTACATGTGCACCAGGGTGGGAAACCAACCTGGGCCCATATACAATGTGGAACGGGCGAGGAAGGAAACCACCCTTCCAACCTGCCTCCCTAATGAACCTTCTCTCTTTTTGTTTCCTTTTTTTGTGACCAAGGTACCTGTGTGATTTCGTCTACTACACCTCCCTGTACCAGAACTGTGCTCAGACCGCCTTTATCCACGTCCCGCCCCTGGGCAAGCCTTACTCCGCCCGCCAGCTTGGAGAAGGGCTGCGAGCCGCCATACACAGCATGCTCAAGCAAGTACAGCCGGTCAAAGCAAATATTTTGTGATGCCGGTCATCCGGTTCGTACCCGGAGGACCTTTTTTTACACATTTTATTTGCAGAATTTGTAGGGCCACTGACCTTTTTTGCTTCATGAGAAAATAGAAAGAAGTAATGGAAATCACCTTTCAGCTTTAAGGAACGGCGCCATGGACTTGTGCATGGACAATAGATGGCGCTGTTGACTTCTTTTGAGAGTTGCAGTGGTAGGGACACACTGCGCGTGTGTGTGGGTGTGGGTAGGCATTACATTCACTGTCATTTTGGTTCCAAACAGTGCGACCCTCATGTCACAACTCTCTCTATATACGGCTCTGATGGAGTCCTTAGTGTGCTCAAAATAGAAATTTATTAATTTCTGTACGCACTGTTTGGGTTAATTTAAAATCTGTAGCAAATGTGTTAGACAAGACTCGTTCTTCAGTCATCTTTGTGTTAATAACATGCGAAAGGCGAAACAGATTTCTTACGCATATTTATGGCTGAAACAGAATTCTTCATTTTTTTGAAATTGCAAAAACAGATATTTTGTGAAACGGAAAAGCAGCGGCTCTAGTTTTTCTTCCAAGATCAGTTGTCACAAAGTGAGCAGTTTGGGGATAATGTCTTCTTTTTTTCTGTAATGATGGTGTATGTAAAATAGGTTAACGTTAGCAATGTTGTGAGTATGTGACTACATGTACTATCTTGTTTTAGCATTTTAGTGTAACTGTTGAAGTGGGTACTGAAGAGTTCGGACAACATACTCGGATAAAACTGAAATGGGAAATTTTTTGAGACTCTAAGGTGTCCATAGCACCCTGCACACATATATGTAATGCCAACTTGTCATAAAATACAACTCAGTGCTCCAACAATGTAGAAAAAAAGGAAGGAAATATAGAAAAATATGTTTTTGAAAATGATAGAACGTACATCAATAACAAGTCGACTTTAAATTTCAGTATAACTCGCAATGATGAAAGATGAGACAGATTGTTTCAGTGGGATTTTATTTGGACAAGTTCATGTGGGTCCATACCTGAGTATTAAAAGGAATGTGGCACTTACATATGTACATGTATGTCCCTCAACAAGCCTGTTTTCTTGCAGCTACTGGTACACTGTATACAATGTACCTCTCTCCATGTTGATTTATAATGGTAAATAGCATAGAATTCATGTCTCACAAAATGTAGCGCCACAAAGAACAAAGCCTCAATGGCTGAATGCCTTAAAGGTATTTTTGTCTTCAAGTAAAATTGATCTTTCATCTGATTGGTCGATCCATGGCAACAAACCCTGCTACATTATCCCATATACCACTTTCCATACCGCACTCCATGTACTGTGCTATTTCAAGATGCACGTGCCATTCCCGCTGCACGCACGTGCGATAGGATAACGGCTGAAAACTTTGTGAACAGCGCGTTTGTTCCAACTTTACTGTGCGTCCATTTTGCGTGAAGAAAAACTTGTGCTCTTGTCACATAGAAATTGTAGCGCATCTGCGCCCCACATATACTAATCGGTTTTCGGCCTCGTGGCATGTGGGACACAGATGCACTACATGTACATTATTCCGTGTGCCACTTGCGCTCATGGGATAAGTGTAGTACTCACCGCACAGAAGAGTTAATAGACAGGTTTTGAGTTTTGCATTTAAAAAAAACCTACAAATTCAATCAGAAAGTGTGTGAAGTTAAAGAGAGAACAATAGAAGACTTTTATAAACCATTGTTCGCCTCCTGTTCAACAAACACTTTAAACGCAGAAATTGGATGCAGTTTCTGGGAACACATCTTACTTCATGTTTTGCATAGTTTCATGTTTGAAATATTTTGTTTTGACCCAAACAGAACTCAACCCATCAAATCCCAACGGCATGTTTTGTTGGAATCTGTCAGGATGGGTACAGTACCCCTAAACTGATAGTGTTTTACATTGGGTTTGCAAACCTCCAGAATCAAAGTCAGAAATGTGTGTGTGCATTTTCCAATTTGCCAGGATGGGTATGGTTCCTAGTAAATCATGCTAGGGAGTTAGGGTTAATGAGTATGCTTGTAGCTATTTTGAGACATAATTTTCTCCTGCTTTATTAACTATTCCAGCATAGAAGCACAAGTGCATGTAAAAACCAACCTTGTCAATATGTACATTTTTTTTATAGCCAACTGAGAGAGTTAGACATCCTTGCAATGTGAAACTGTGATTTCTCATGAAATAAATGTTTACAAATTTTCAAATAATTTCACGTATTAGGAGGTAAGGTGCTTCAGCACCAGGCCAATTTCTGCTCAAAACTGCAAATTTGTACTGTTTACCACAAAATGTGGTTGAAATGTACAATATGTGCAAATGAATTTTGATAAAACTTGGTTAACATTTGAAGATATTTTTTCCTCCTAAATAGACCAGACAAAATTACAAAATTTCATTTTTAGTCACGTTTTTTTTGTACTTTGTATATTAGTATGATCTCTTTGTTATTAATTGGTGCAAATATTGTCTTTGTTTTTTCTCCGTTCATCTATGCACCGGAAACTTGTGTAATAGTTGTAGCATATTGTCATATAATATTTTTGACATTTTTAGACATGCGAAAAAATTACTCCAACTAATACTTTTTATTTCACTAATACGTTCAACTAAAATATCAAGTTTGTAAAGTTTTGAAGATTTTTAGTGGCTTGGATTGGCCAGTTAGACATGTAGATGCAGATAATTTTTTTCCCGTCATTTCCCCCTATTTCTTTTGTTTTAATTATAAAATTAATATTGTTATTCTTGAATATATTAAGAAGTTAGATACTCAAATCAGTACTAGCATTGTTTGACGGATGTGTCTGGAACAAAAGATCATGTGTGCCATTTTTCATGTGTGCCATTTTTCTTCCATTTAACATGGTGCAACATTGTTCTTACTGCATTGTCAGAAATGCCCCACAATGCCCTGCACCAAAATGGCTGCTTTCGTGGAACAGCTAAATAAATATTTATCCGCTCCGTTCACAAGTACCCCCTCACCGGCAAAGAAAGTACAGTCGGGGGTGATCGAACGACGCCATCTTGCCTGACTGCAATATTTTGCTGTGGAGCGCAGCCACTGCGTGTACATACAGCACATGAAGTAAAAATCCCCTGGTGTACCTGCGTCACACACAAGGAACATTGCGCGCGCGTCAACCAGCGAAATGTATGTGTCCCGCCCATGGGACGTTGTTGCTAGGTAAAAGGGCGCCCTCTTTCGTTTGTGCACAGAGCCCATATGAGACTTTTGACTGTGACTGAGCAGCCAACAACCCACAATATCATGGTTATATTTAGAACAAGGTTCATTTTACCTGCATGTATTTTATTGTTCTGTAAAGCCTGTAGCACTTAGTGGTGTCTAGGAACTAGACTTGTAACTTTGGCCTTTTTTATCACCAGTAGATTTTTAACCCGATTATTTCCATCGAAAAAAAATCTACGCACATGTATATTTTAACAGTAGAATATTGCCTCGGAGCTTAACAAATTGATAAATTTCAGTGCTAGAGCATGAGAGAGTGCATAGACTTAGCAAAAAAGAAAAAGTGCCTGTCTTTTTGTGGCTTTTTTTTTTTTAAGCTAGTGTTTGACACTTTGATCTTACAATTTAACAAACAAGATGTAGCCTCCGCATTTCTACTTTGTAAATATTGATCATACTTATATTTATTATCAGAGCTAATTATATGAATGCATGTGTAGTAAGTGTAGCGAATGGAAATATTTTGCAATATTTTTTTATGACTTGTCGTAAATGTAAGGCTTTAACAGAATAATCCAAATTTAGAAAAAAAGCTGCAGGACCAGATCTGTATCACTGGACTGTGCACTAACCACATGATGTGTATTTAAATTTGGTTCTGTGTAACTTTCCAGAAAGAATGTTGCATCTTGGGCCACTCTTATTTTGTTTATCATAATGAAGGTCAGTCATGCAAAATGTTGAAAAGACACGAATCTGGGACTGAGAAACATTTCCAATTTTGTTAGAATATACTCTGAAAATATGCATTTGACTCTCCATAGACTTTGTACACAACCAAAGAAGTGGGGTCTGGATATATTTCTAACTTTCCTTACTCGCACGTAATTACTGTACACTTTCAGAGGCCCCCAGTTATGGTGGAAGCATTGTGCCAGCTATTGTTCAGAATAACCTTCATCAAGCAGTTGTAAAAGTACAGTACCGAGCAATTTTTTTTCACCATATCTGGGGGCCACGCGTTCATGTACAGTACCTTGATCCGGATTGATACCTCAATCCTCCCACTCTCACAACAGCTTCCCTGCACCACCAATACTCCAAATGTAACAGGACTTTTCTTGTTCCAATGAATTTGTAAAGGTAATACACAACATTTGCTGTTGCTGTAAATTTCAGAAATGGATGGATTGGGGGTCAGGGTTTTATAGCAAACATTGTTACACTGGCCTGTTTTAAAGTTTTGTGTTCATAGACATGATAGATGCTAGAAAAACAAAGATTAATGCTGTTCTTGTAGTCCGCTTCCCTGTCCCTACTTCAGACAAAATGGAGCAATTTATAGACGTCAGGGAATTGTCAGGTCAGGGAGCCAGACTACCTGGCTTGCACCATTCACAGATGTGTTACTGATATTGCAAACAAAATGTGGACTAACTAATTTTGGTGAATTGGGGACAGTATTTGAAAAAAAGTCAGTTTTTTCCCCCAATGATGGTCGGTCGCCCTTGGAAATTGATACAAAAACTCAATTTCACTTGAAAATGACAGCACGCCATGATTTCACAGGATGCCTGAAGTGGACACTATTAATCACTTAAATACATTCAACTAAGGTATTTCATCATAATTTGGTAGGTTTTTTATGTTTACAAATGTTGTATATTACCTTTAATGGATCACAGTCATTCCCTGTACCACAATTACTTTAGCATACCACACAAGTTGTCCTGTACCAGTGGCAAGGTACATGTACAATTACTGGATGTTTATAACGATATTATAATTTGAACCTCAGGACGTTTTCTGTACAGCAGAAAATTTGAACATACCAAAGAATTTGAATCTGTTGAACAGGGACACAGTTAAGTTGGCATTTTATGGTATAAGATTTTGGAAACCAAAAATTTGTTACAGGTATAAAATGTATATCCCTGTTTGGCTGTACAAACATCTCGCTCTGCAACTCTCTCTTCCCAACGATCTTTTTGCGTGCTTGGAATTTTATGGATTTTTATGTAGTTATATCTTATAAACATCCTCCGCTGCCCATTTTGCAGGTTTATTTTTATTTGTCAATGTTTTTAAATCAGATCTGTGGCTTGCTAAAATCTTAGGGCTAAAATTGGAAGAATAGTGTTGATTAGTATGTGGTTTGTGTGATTGTATAATATACATGTATATCTTTTGTACTGTTTTATTTTTAAGTTGTGCTGAGGACGTCGTCATTAAAAGTGTCAGTCCAACAGTAAAACTGAAGAATTGTTTGTTGGTTTGTTTTCTTCTAGTCAGATATTTGAAAAAGCCAATTCAGGGGGCTATACACATGACAAATGGGGGCACTGTTCAAAGCAGAGGATCATGGACACTCAGACAAAAGGTGACACTAATCACCGACACAATTTTGCAGACAACGAATACTGGTGGGGGGGGGGGATTTTGACACCCCCTTCTCCCATTGGCCGGTTTTAAACAAGTACATTTAAACTGGCTAGGGGCCTGGTGGATTATCCGCGAACAGACACCTAGCCAATTATAAACGCACTTGTTTAATATTGGCAATTAAGCACATATGTATTCCCCTTCATAAGTACCTCTTGGTCAAAACAAGTCGTAATGTAACAAAATGTCAACAATTTTGTTCAACAATTTTATTTCATGTTTTGTGGAACACCCCTCTGACCAAAATGGTACATGTATGTGCCTCGTGCGGTTAGTGCTAAAAGTCACACACTGCGCAATGTGGCGCAGAACACAGCGGTGCAGGAATAAAGTGTTAAAAGCAGACGGTGTTTATCAGCGGTTTATTAAACCACCCACGTGATGGGCTCTCGGCCATATAGGAATTGGTAAACTGTCTTCAGGATAAATTCAGGATAACACAAGTCTATGGAGGTGGTGGTGACCGAATCCCCATTCTGCAATTTTTTTCATGCAATCAAAAAGATAAATGTTTGTTTATATGAAAGTTGCAGCAAAAATGCATGTTCAAGATTTGTAAGACTTCATACTGACTTCAGAACAAGAACTTGCCTTTAATTTTGTTGGTACCTGCGGCAAATTGTTTATCCCGAAAGAAAAACGTCAAATCTTGTTGTGAGAGACACGGCAGGGGAGAACATAAAACAGAGATCCACCAAAAAATCCATTACGAATAAACCATTACTTTAATCTACCTCTCAGTTCACCACCATTTTACTAAGTTACATTTACACAGGTTTACATTACCATATTAAAAGAAAGAACGAAAATAAAACTTTCCTCACTGTTGACATTGTTACAATTTCAGTACAGTATCGACTTTTCACCAACACACATATAACACCAATACATTGAGTATAGAAAAATAGTACATGTACAGATATCCTTTTAAAGTACTTTGGTCTTCACGTTTCTGTCCATACACATTACAAGAATATTCGTTAAGAAAATAGAATTAATAACTAACTCAGGAGACATCTAGAATTACATAACTGCATTAGTCTTGATTCCAAGACTAGCTACATGTAGCTAGATTTGGATTTTAGTCCCAAGCACGGATAACCACCATGGCGGTCAATAGAGGACTCTAAGATGATTACATGTTTGCTACACTCAAGCTAATGTACATGCATCAACGTATGCTTGGAATTCCCTGGGCATGCTGGGTAGCATTGCCAAAGTTCCCATGACTTTATTTTGATTCATCTCGTTGGTAGCGACCTCTACTTCCACGGCCCTGTTACCGCACCTGCCAGGACTGGCTGCATTACGCATGTTAGGGGAATAAAAAACAAATCCAGTCTTGGATCAAGATTACAACTGCATTCAACTGACGGACATTAAAGCAAACTTCATGAAGCGGACGTTAACAATGTGCATAGAGGAAACTGCACCATGGTTTTTCCCGTATTTGATCACCACCATGACCTTAATCATCACCTTAATTTTACCCCACTATTATCACCACGATTGCTTTGCAATAGCCGACCTGAAAAATTCTCATATTTCCACCAAATTTATTTATCAAGATGATAGACGTATAATACACTTAATGCTTGGCATAATTGCCTTCGTGAGTACTTAAGGTATCCATAAATATGTAGCTCTTGCATCTTTGACCAGCAGCACAAGAAAAAAATCCCCGAACCTCAAAAAATGTTCAACTACAGAAAAAGAAAAATTGAAACTGAAAAACAACTAAATAAATGGACAAGTGCGCCAAAAGCAGGATCTTTTCACAATTTCACTGTCTGCATTTTGACACAAGCACTCGCATGGTACATCTATTTTTTTTGGTACAATAAGATTGGCTGATACACGTACAGTCGTACACAGCCCACATACCATTATAAATTCTGTGCGATACTTTTTTTTATAATTAAGTACACCTGAAAATAATCCACAAGTTATCTTCATTGCAAATTTGTTTGCATAAAAAACTTTATATTCCACTTTTGTTTTTACCCCAGAAAAGATATTTTCTAATGAGCCACTAAAAAGATTTTTTTAAAAACCACTTTGGAAGCACATACAACTGTATGTACTACACAATAAAATTGTTTAAAAAAGGTGTCAAATTAGTATATACAAATTGAAAGGTGCTCGTAAATTTGACAAGAAATCTGTGTAAAAAAAATCATCAAATATGGATCTTCCTATTTTCTACACTCACGCAAAGAAATGACCAACATCCTTATTAACCCTAACTCCCCAGCCTAATTTACTAGGAACCATACCCATACTGGCAAATTCCAACACACACACACATGGGAAATTGTACACACACACTGTTGGACTTAGTTTCTGGAGGTATGCCGACCCCAGTATAAAAGACCATCAGTTTAGGGGTACTGCACCTATGGTTTGAGTTCGGTTAGCGTTAAAGTACATATTTCTTTCCTTTAAGATAATGTACATTTGCAAACATAAAAGAACATTCCAAGTTATTATAAAATGCCTTATTACTTGACTGTTAGTGAATAATAGTCTCAAGCATCCTGTGATGTAACCATGGCACCTGGTGTGCTATCATTTTCAAAAAAAAGTGGAATTTTTTTTCAATTTCCAAGTTTTGGACCCTTGGAGTACCTAAATGGAAACAATTAAAATATCAAGTAACAAGTGGAAACTGACACCATCAATTCAGCAACATGGACTTTTTTGGGGACTACATTTGAGCAAGACTTCTTGAAAGCCAAAAACACCAAATTACTCAATTTTCCTCCCAAGTCCTTATAATTGAGTACGAGTACTTTGATAATGGAGTACGATATCGAATAGTCAAGTCCAAGTACTTTGTTTCTCGAGTACGAGTACCCTGAATTCAGTCCGAGTATTTTGATATTTGAGTACAAGTGCAAGTATTCTTAAAAAAGTACTTGAGTTGTACTCGAGTACGAGTACCATGTACGAGTAGTACAGCACTGATGGAAACCTGAATCAAAGTTGTGAAAACTGCTCACCCGCGCCAGCAGAGTGAAAGAGCTAACCCATGGCTGTTGTTGCTATAAAGCAACACTATCCCAAATGGAATGTGCAGAGCACTATTTGATCATTATTATGTATCACTATTGTATCACACATAACCTCATTTGTTTTTATAAACAACATCATGGCAATGTAATGTACTTCAATGGGTACATAACTAACCAAGGTCCAGACCAGACTGGTACCTTGAGCACAGAGAAAAAAACTTGCAAAACAAAATCAGGCAAATACTCACTCTTACAAACTTCACCCAACATTTTCACCAGGCAAAGACAAAGCCCCCAAATTTTACCAGGCAAGTGTGATGTCTCAATTCCATTTTTTAGAAGAGACTTTTCTTCGACATTTTGCACCTGAGAGTGAAGCCAAGTGATTGAATTTGAAGCCTAGGATTAGACGAGTAATGAGTACTGGTACATGTCCACCTTTTTGAGAAGATTGACCCTTCAGTAGTCTGGTGGCATGACTATGGGAGAATGTGTAGAAATAAAGACTAGTACCCAATGTTTCTTTTGACACAGGTGATTGATGCAATACTAAAATGGCGAAGGACTACATGTAGTTGTTTCATGTGCCAGTCTCTTTTCTTGTTATGCATGTTTTCAATACTTCAAGTTTTGGGACTCTCATACACAGCATTGGGAGTCCCAAATTTTCAGACTAGCCCAGACCCAAAACATATGACAAATAATTGGAATGAAACATGGTACCTATAGGTCTACTTCTTTCCTTAAAAAACAATTATATGCATCTTCAAAATATGTACACATTGATTACCAACTACATGTAATACTCTACCAACTATCTTTGTATTAAAAACTGATAAAACAATTTAGTAAAACTACAAGTACATACCCAGATTGATAATTACACTTTCAATAATAAAAACAATAGGCCTGAACTGTTTAAAATTTACAAGGTACTGTTTTCTGTTTGGACAACATTTTTTGTGGTACATTTTTGTACATAAAGTTTGCACATATTTGTAAACCATTTTCAAGCTAAATAATCTCTTCCACGATAACAAAATTATGAATGTTTTTCCAAATTTTATAATGGATTTTGATACTATTTTTGTCCCTGATTATGTATGAAAATTCTTAAAACGGAATTGTTTTATTATATTCTGAAATGTGCACGAAATAAAGCCACCCAAACTGTTTTCTAAAATTATTTTTTTAACATTGTTGACAAGACATTTAAAGATGAAAATAAAAAACAAAAATCACTAAAACTACATAAAAATGAACACTTAAATCATCAAAACAGTTATAAAATTTGTTCAGAATATCAATTACGAGAAATGCATTCATTTAATTGTCATACCTTACATCAGAACACAACCAACAAAAAAAAATTCAATGCACAACACAGTGATTGTTGACATTCAATTTACGATACATTTAAACAGTGCGTGAGACATAATTAGGCATTAGACATTTGATACAGTTCGGTGTATGCAAGTATTCAGATTTGTGTCATTTCATCTTCCTATGTGAAACTTGGCTAGGACACAACCACCGTCACAAACTTTACAAGCCAGTTCATACTCGGCGAGCTCAAATGAGACGATATCAAGTTTGTGACGTAACGGCAACTTTTTCGTGCTGCAAATTTACAAAATGTTGAACACATTTCAACGACAACAAATTTTGTTGTGAATGTTTCCTGAATGTGAATGTTTCAAATTTGCACTCACATTCGCGAGAAGTATGAACTGGCCTTAATACAAAGACTTCGGGTGGGAGATATTTACAAATATTTGAATTAGAAACTTGCTCCCTTTGATGGAGGAATGCCTGGATGTGAAACTGCTTTCAAAATGGATACGACTGGCAATGAAATACACTGAACTTTTAAGTGTTTTTTTTCCTTGTTATAATACACTACCAGGAAGCTCAATGATGTCCTGTTGACTGACCCCCGACCTTTGACCACCATCTAGTCAAACCACTGGGCTTTCCTCAATCGTAGCCTGGGGAGCCCTCTTGTCCTTTGAAGCCTTGCGGACGTTCTTGCCCTCTGCTGCCTGCCCCGCTTCATTCCCGTTCCTCATGTTGACGCCTTTCTGGATGATCTCCCCGAAGCCTTCCTGGTGACTGAACGCGTAGCCCGACCGGGAGCTGGCAGGTCGCTTGCTGCCGGTTCGCTGGAGGCCCGTGGTGGACCGCACGCTGTCTCGCACCGAGCCCCGGGACCGGAACCCGCGGAGCTGCAGGGACTTCTTGCGGGCCTTCTTGAGCTCCTGCCGCTCCTGTCGCTGCTCCAGCCGGACTTTGTCAGCCAGCGTGGGCTGGACGTCGGCCTGCACGGCCCGTTTACCCATCAGCGGCAGCAGCAGGATGGTTACAACCAGGATGAGTGAGAAATAGAAGGCCGGGAGACGGAACATCATGACAGGCACGCCCACGTAGGTGAAGATGGTTTGGAAGGCTGAATAGACAGGCTCGCTGTAGAACAGGAAGATGAAGATCAAATACATGATGACACTTGCCCAGATGACAATGTGAGTGATGATGTTCCAGTAGGCTGTATCCAGTGCAATCTATGGAAAGAAACAAGGCTAAAATTAGTGTCGCACATTGGACATACTTCAACCGCCTATCCTATCTACTCATTTATTTGTAACGTAACTTCACTCACAGTGTTCTCTTTATATAACCATCAAATTGATTGGCTATTTCATTTTAAGCCTCCGATGCAAAAATACATTCTGTGCAAAGTTGTCATTCAGTCAAAATCAATGAAGTAACTGTTTTCAACAGTTAAGAGCTCCCAGCCCACATAAAGCAGGATTGACTGACTGTGACTGTTTATGTAGCTTGATACAGCTATGCTTTACCCTAACAGTCCTGAATCCTCCAATTTCAATATGATTTTGCACACCCCCTCGGGAGTTAGGGTTAATAAGCCGGCTGTGCCTACCAATTGACTGAATTAGACTAGTCACAGTGCTTGCTTGAAGTATGATCTGATTGTTGGTGACTAGCCTGCGTAAAAGGCATCGCAGGGGATGAGGACTGATTTTTTTACTGTTTGTGACTGTTCAGACATAAGGAGGGTTGATGGAGTAATTTACTTTTTGCCGTTTCACCCAGGCATGCAGCTGAAAAGCACCAACAACAAAAAAGACGAAATTCCAAGACTTCAGAAGACTTTGCACAGAGTTTTGTTTTCAATTTTTAATGGCAGACATTGGAATTGGAAAAAAAAAGAGAAAATCAGCTGATCGGAGGAAAAGTTGCACCCATGTTCACCCTGTGTTGTATGTAGGGCCTGCTGGTACCCACCTTTAGGTTGACGACCACAACCACCATGGTCGCTATAATGCATCCCATCAATGACTGGGAATGGGCTGGCATGCCATCGGGGAACAGATCCCCAGCTAAGACACCTGATATAAAAAAGAGCCATTTGTAATAACTATCAATGATAAGGATTTGCATTTAAATTTATTTTTCTAATTGTACACATTATCATCATTTGTTATAACTTGGGGAGACAATGGACATGAGGGAGACATTGTTCATGTTTTTCCCCAACAGTGGTTGGCTGACCATCTTGAAAAATGATACAAACATTCCACTTTTCTTGAAAATGAGAGCACACCAGGTACCATGATTTCACAGGATGAAATTGAGACTATTATTCACTTACATACAAGTATAAGCTATTTCATAATAATGTGGTACTTGGTTTTTTTTTTTTTTTTGGAATTGTACACTGCCTTTAAAAGCTTCGTTTGTCCACTTTGGCTTATACCCTGACCTAGAACCATTTCTTGAATAATTTATGTTTGGACCAAATGAAAAAGACCCCAAACTTTGGCTGTGGCTTAGAAGTAGGATTCATGTTCCTGGAACAGAAAATGGCCATATATACTGACTCACAATCTCCAAAGTCAGGGGCCTAAAATCATGCAGCTAGAGCTTGTAGCCAGAGTCTGAGTCACACCCCAGATTTGAATAAATGGCATACCTGGCCACATACTGTGTTGAATCTCCAAAATAAGGGACCTATAAGTATGAAGCTGCAGCTTGAAGCCAGAGCCAGAGACACACCCAAGGTTTGAAAAAAGTGGTCTACATACCATAGGTGATGAAGAACAGGACCAGCGAGGTAAGAACGCCTTGCAGTAGACTCTTAGAGAAGACCCAGTAGTTGAAGAACAGGCTCTTCTGGCCCGGCTTGTATAGCTCTGGGTACTCAATGCTCTTCTTGTCACTGACATCCTGAGAGCAAACGAGCAAAGATCATAAATAATAAATAATGGTAATACTGGAGTCTTGAATAGACGAGGCGCATGGCGCTCATGTTCTTGGGCAAGACATTTTACTACAATTGCCTCTCTCCGACCAGGAATATAAATGGGTAACTGTGAAGGTATAGAGACCAAATTGCGCTGATCTCGAGCTGCTGCAGAAAAATGGTCTCATTCATGATGAACAGGGATAATAATTGTAAAGCGCTTTGAAGCCTTTGGTATAAAGCGCTATATAAGAAACACATTTTTATTAATAGTAAAAGTAAAAGCAATGCAGTTGAGGGATAGAGTAACAATGAAATCAAAGCACCCATACCTGGTCAAATATTCCAATAGCAATCACAGGCAACGAGGTGAAAAAAATGTTATACGCACTGATGTACCATTCATCATACAGTGTCTGCAATGAAATAGAAAATAACACAGAAATGTCTTGTCAATTCTGTGATTCATAAGATGGATTGTTTTGCGTCGGGGTGATGTAAATCAAATTAGGTTTTGCCCTTCACCGACGTATAAACACTGTACACTAAGTGTGTTACCGCCCGAGTGAAAGTTGGAAAAAATCACTTGGGTGGGACTCGAATAGGGTTCTGTCGAAAATGCACGTAAAAAGTGTGCCAGTGTGCACATATCAATGATTTTCTGCTTCTGAACGATACTAATTCAGGCAAAATAATTTCACAGGGTATTTGATACCAGTCCTATCTTCACTTTGAACGAGGCTTTACTCTTTAAATCGGTAGGTTTTTTTTCCATTTTTTTTTTTAAAGTTCCTACCCGACTTTAAAGCTTTGAAGCGTTGTGTTGACTTACCATGGCAGAAAACCCACAGAAGAAGGCAAACCAGAAGTGGCCGACCGTCTGCGCAAAGTTCTTGTAGAAGAAGTAGGAGAGGAACTTGCACATGCGGTAGTAGGACCAGCGACCGTGCACCAACAACAAACGCTCCAGGAACGTGCACAGACATTATTAAGGAATCACTCTTTAACAAGTTAACACATTACTTACTCCTGCAAATGTTTCAGTTGTTGCGAATCCTAAGGCTTTCAGCGTGTAGAACGGACATATTAAAAAACACAGTGCATGTGAACTTTTGACCTTTACAGGCTTATGTGTTTATGAATGGGAAATTCTGGAAGGTCAAGAAATTCATCAGATAGGCCTATTCTAGAAACTTCTGTTCTAAAGAACTTTAAAATTCATTGCCAATTTTGTTAATTTCTAGCGGATTTGTATAATTCTATAAATGCTGTTGAGGAGATATTTGAAGCAGGATTTGGCAGGACTTTAGAGCTAGATTTTGCTGTGAGATGGTAAGGACAGCTGTGGATCATGGTAGCCAAATGGACCAATCAACAGCTTAGTCCACAATTCTGATCGAAATGACGTCACGATTGCTAAAGTTGACTCTGATTGGCTGCCACACTGGCTCGCATAAATGTGCATCCTAGGATATATTAGACACTCATCAGAACACATATTTCTTTGCTTTCCTGATACTTTTTGATAAAACACTAACAACTAGACAAACAGATAGATAAACCAACAGGCCTTTGTCGGCTTCTATTTCAAGAAAAGGATATCTGAACTGTGCAAAGCTGAAGTCGCTGGCTAGCACGGCTTGCATCCCTTCCTGACCACTGATGCCAACTCCGATGTGGGCGGCTGGAAAGGAAAGAGACACAGCACAAAACCAAACTAAGTTTTTTTTAAGGGATGGCAAACAAGATATGTACATCCTGAATCTATAAGCTTTACAATATGGGAACTTTTTCTACCACACTTTACTACAGGAAAGTGCCATTCAGCTTAAACACACGATTACCAAAAAATATTAGTTGGACAAATTTTTGAAAAGTAGAATACGAAAGATTGCACACAATTATACTATGGAATTGTGCTGTTTGTGTAATTTGTACGTTGCTAATTTCGGGGTACGACATTTTGGTCTTCCTATTTTTGAAGGCTTTCACGACGTCAACAATCAAAGTTTCATTGTGACATTTGCCGTTACCCTACCAATTCACTTTGCACTGAAATTTGCGTCAACCAGACTTCTGGGGAACAAACCCCAACTCCAGTCTTGGACCCTGCTTATTGGCTATAACATTTGCTTTTTTCACTAATCCATTCGGCACTGTTCTATCCGAAACCACCCTACCTGTTACTCCCTCTATCGCCCCAAAACAAACCAGCAATCTATAGCTTTATAGATTCCACCAGGGAATTATATACAATGTAATACAATGTAGTATAGATGCTATACAATGTAATACAATGTAGTACAGAGGTAAGGGGTTAATCAAACACTGGATTTTCATGGATGATTCCATTATTAAGTTGGCTTCAGTGACTCACTTTTGATCATACTGACGTCGTTTGCTCCGTCCCCTATGGATAAGGTCACCGCCTTCTTGTAGCGTTTGACTAGATCCACGACCTGGGCTTTCTGTAACGGGGTGACTCGGCAGCAGATGACTGTCTTGCAGTAGCAGGCTGCTGCCAGGAAGATCTGCTCCATCTCCTCATTGCCTAGTGCAAATGCCTGGAAACGAGTTCAAAGGACATTTGTAACTGTATCCTGCATTGTTTAAAGGTAAGGTAGATCATTTGTCACTCGTGCAATTTTTTGGTTTTTGTTTGAAGCAACAAATGTGCTCAAAATTCAAAGACTTGTGCTTAACAACTAACCGGCTGAAGTTTTAGCTCTGTGAATGCTTTATATTCCACGACAACAATAACCTAGGATCTCGATTTCAATTCAAAAGTTGCCAAGTCATGTTTGAAATGCCCGTGAAATCAGCATTCGGGACACGTTCTCATTCAGCCGATTGCAGCTACGCGATGGCGTGAACAAACGAAAAACAGCAAACACGGGCGTGCATCATGTCAATGCTTGAGTGCACCCATTCACGGAATCAAACCAACTACTAATGGAAATTTCCAAAAAGGTGTCACTTGGCTCATCTTTGGAAATGGCCTTTTATTGTTTTCTTCAAAATGCCAGCATGCCAGGAAAAATAATTTCACAATGTGTTTATTGCCATTACAATCTTTAAACCAAGTAAGCTTTTCAAAAATAGTTTTGTCAGCTACTTTTCGGATAGCTTCAAGTACTCTACTTCTTTCAATATTAACCTAAGATGTTATACAGCTCAAGTTTGCTGGTAGGGTAAATTTTCTGGGCTCAATTAAGGCGCTGTTGACTGCTGAACAATATATTGGGTGGGATCGGTGGATCTGCCCCATCGCTCGATCGCTCAGAAATGTGTTTGGGCAATTTGTTGTTCGATCGCGCTTCACTATCGGATGATCGCGCAGCCATTGGTCGATTGTCTTTTTCTTTCTACTTCATGGCTCTGCAGGATCATTTATATAAAAAGCAAAGTAAAGTCAGAGATTTCATACGGGAACGGCCGATTGTGCAATTGTATTTCTATATGCAACCGAGTGACAGTGCAAAACCACCAATCAGGCTGGAGATCTATATGCAAATCTGATTTTTCTCTGGTACTTTCTTCAGTTCAAATTAAAACATACTTGGGAGGGAAGACAGATTCCACCTCCTCCTGAATCCAAGAAATCCAAGGACTGATTGTAAGGTTTCGTTCAAGTACATTCACTTTTGGCTTAATCAGACAAAAACATTTTATTATTATGGTCATCAATATTACACGCTTCCATTTGTGAATGGTGCAAAGAGTGCCCTTTGCTGCACATGGTCAATGGGAAACAAGATAATTTTTTGAAAATTCGAAAATTTTGCAGGAATCGTGTCTGATTTTTACAAAAACTTTTGCAAGATACCAGACTGAAAATTAAAAAAGGGTCAATATATTTTTAATTTGTTTTTCCTTTTTTGCTTATTTAAAAAAGAAATCTATAACAAGAAATACTGTCATACGCTAAGCGCAAGTCAGCCGAGAACCTGTCACAAACAATACACATTGCACCGCATTTGCGCTGATAAGCCATTTTAGCTAAGCAAATGCTTTCAATGGTGCATTTGATGGGAACATACATACCAGGGCAGCGCCAGTGACAACCATAGCAAAGCTGTAGACATCGTTCAGCTCATCTTCATCTTTGCTCTTGTAGGAGATGTCGTCCCCGTCTCCTGCGGCTGCCCTCAACTCCTCCTTGTCCTTGATTCCCATCACGTCCCGAATCTTCTCTAGACAGTCCTTCACCTGAGGATTAATAAATAAAATAAAAGGTAATGCAGAACGTTTGCAAACATTAACCCTTTCATGCCCACATTGTTTGACTAGGCTCTCCCCAGGACCAAATTGTTTGCTCAGTCATGCGGAAATCACTAGAGCGTGAACAAAATGAGCACGAGTCAAAAACTTACTTTTTTCAACCCAGATTTTCATTGCCAAGGAGTGATTAAAATCATAAATGTTGTGTGTAAAGTTTGTTCCTTGAACCTTACTCTTTTATGTGATGTAAAAATGAAGTCCATACGTGCAAATATAAGAAAGGTATGCCTTTTTGTTCATCTGGTCCCAATTATCAAACTGCAAGCCATTTCACCACATGACCAAATGGCACTCCATACCTCAAATTGTGCGTGGATACTTCTGAAGCACTTTTCTCATTTTTTTGTATGGTAACACTATGAATAAACCACACCAATAGAAAGATCCGAAAACACTCTTTCAGCTGGTATATAGTTGATCTATGGGCGGCCAAACATATCAACATGCCGCCTTTTTGAAAAGTAGTGAATATATCTGTGTTGAGGGTGTTTTGTGTGTGGTTTCCTGGTCGACTAAAGTCGCCCATGGGAACCAGCAGGGGGCTACTTCTTGTCGACAAAAGTGGCCCATGGTAAGGAAAGGGTTAAAAAACGCAACTGCCACATACTCTTGAAATGGCCTTCTTGATCGTAAGTAAATAACAGTATCAAGCATCCTGTGAAATTGTTGCCCCCTGGTTCAAAGAAAAGGGGAATTTCATATCAATACTAACGATGGTTTGAACAAACCATAACTGTGCATATTTTTTTTAATACTACATCAATTAATTTAAAAGCCTCCTTTCGTTTGATCAGTCACAGACAGTCAAAAATTCAATCCTGTTCCCCTGCCATGCCTTTTACACAGGCTAGTCACCAACAGTCACATTATATATCTTGTAGGCGCTGTGACTGCCAAATTCCATCAACAGCCAAAAGAAGGTAACTGGTATGCACAACTGGCTACAGTCAAAGCATAGCTATATCAGGTTTCATAACAATCACAGCCAGTCAATCCTGCTTTATAAACGCAGGGGGAACTCAACTGTTGAGAGCAGTCACTTGATTTATTCTGCCTGCTGGGCTGGCCTTGTTGAAGTTGCCAGCCACAGAGGAGGGTTTATGGGAACATTCCAGCAGGTATGCTCAGTTACGCAGATAAATGTACATCAGGCCAAAACAAATATATAGTCGGTCTCTGGTCAGCGAGCGCGTCGTTTTTAATCATGCGCGTCAACCTCTTTTTTTTCAAAAATGTTCCGCGGTAGCTCCAACAGCGCCCTCTATTGCCGCACCTCCTCAAATGTTTTTACTAAAGAGCACCAAGGTATGGGAAATTGCAACAAGGCAAATGATCGAGGACACCAGGGCAAATTATGGAGGACACCAATGTACATGAGGACACCAAAAAAGCAAAATAGTACCCCACCTTGTCTGTATAATCCAAGCTTGAAAAAAAAAAAAAAAAAAAAAAAAAAACGGCGTTGCCGCATCAATTCCAGAACTTTGGTCTGACCAGAGACCAAGTATTATTTTTTTGGGCCTAAACTGCACAATTGCCCTATCGCGGTAGAATCGCGTCAACGCAGCTTGTGAAATATTGTCCAATTACATGATAAACAAAATGGACGCAGAATGCACCAAATTCCGAGAAAAACAAACCATAGCGTACAAAATTCCATAGGGATGTCTAAGAGGCGTGGCTTACTCGCAAACGTGATAGGTCAATTACCCGCAGACCAAAAGGCCACAACGCTCCAATTAGCACAAAAAATACGCTTGAAGGCCGTCTCTTTTGTTTTCCGTTACCTGTTGTTCAGCCAAGTTTTGCTCCGATGCATCGATGGTGAACATCTCATTCATCTGATCTGTCAGCAGCTTACAGGAATAACCAATGTTGATGGCTGTCTCTAGCTTGTCTCCCGTCAGCACCCACAACTTGATGTTAGCCTGAAAAAAAAATTCCAGTTAAAATACCTTGAAAAAAAACGTCTAAATAAGTTCAGGTTTCAAGAGAAACTTCAGAATATTTTTGTCTGGATATACAGCTTGATAGTGTGGCTACAACCTCGAACAAGTTTGACAAACGCATTTATTTTTTGGGCATGTTTTGATCATGTTTAGGATTTTCCATCGGACTGCTTCTCAGCAGGCCTCGGCCCGTCATGACATGGCTTACTATATCTAGGTTTTTGGTACGTTCTAAATAGAAATTCCCCAATATTTTTGCATGGATATAGAGCTGGATAATGTGGCTACAAACTCCAACATATTTGAGCTCCCAAGATTAAGTTTAACTGGAGAAAATTGGACATGCACAATTATTTTATGACCCTTTTTTTATAGGATTTACAATTGGACTGTCTCTCAGTGGGCCTCGGCCCGAGATGACATGGCTTGCTATATCACTGTTTTCCGGTACTTTCTCGAGAGAAATTTCAGAATATTTTTGCATGGATAGAGAGCTGGATGGAGTTGCTACAAACTCCAACAAGTTTGAGCTCCGGGCACCAAATAGAACTGGAGAATATTTGTCATACACTATTTGTTTGGCCACGTTTTATACATGTTTAGGATTTTACATCAGACTGCTTCTCAGCAGGCCTCAGCCCGCCATGACATGACTTGCTATATCTCGGTTTTTCGGAGAGAAATTTCCTATTATTTTTGCATGGATAGCGCACTGGATAATGTGGCTACAATCTCCAACAAGTTTGAGCTCCGGGGACCAAATATAACTGGAGAAAATTGGACATTTCGAAGTATTTTTTGCTCGTGTTTTATTTGTGCGTAGGAATTTTCATTGGACTGCCTCTCAGCGGGCCTCTGTATGCCATGACAAGGCTTGCTATATCTCAGTTTTTCGGTCTTTTCTAGAGAGAAAAGATTCAAATGATTCAAATGATTCAAAAGATTCAAATGATTTAAATCAATGAATTCCATTGGCCTTTTCATGTACCTTGTGAAGGTTTTCAATGGCAGTTGGTACTCCGTCTTGTAGTTTGTCTTCAATGGCCGTGGCGCCCAGCAAGCTCATGTTGGTCTCTATTTCCTCATACAGTTCATCCAACTTGGCTTCACGATCATCCAATGAGGTGCTGGAAAAGGCACAGTGGGAATATGCATGAGAAGCAGGTCCACCAATGAAGACACTGCATGCATACTCTATGAATATTCACCAATTGGAGCCATCCAATGAGGTACAATATACTGCACTTACAATGTCATGATAATTTATTTAAATGCTCTGAGTCTTTCGAAAGTGGTCAGAAAGTGCCGTCTGCTGGACAAATCATGATTATTTGGACCTTAGTCCATTGACAAAATAGACAAATTGCTCTTGCTCAAAGGAATCTACATGAATTCCCAAAATGTGTCTAAATCCTCGTGGACATTGATTTTGTGAACTTTGAATTTGTCTCATACCAACATGCATTTCACATACTGAAAACAGCCTCTCTCTGTTGGGACGTGAACCAACAACAATCCTATTGCAGGTCCACCACTGCAACTTATTCAATCCTCAGAATTGCAGGTCTGTTGCAACTGTGCATCTCGCACGCCTCAAACAGCCTTGAATGGTTGGATGCGAACCTGCAACCATCAGATTGCAAGTCCAGCAGTTCTACCCACGGAACAGTTTGTACTTTCATTTCATTTCATTTCATTTCATTTATTAATTTCACAGGTAAAAATTCAAGTACAGACAATAAGAACACTAAAGAAAACAAAAACATGCACATACAGTTAGGAGAGAGAACAAGAAAAAAGAAAGAAAAAAGTAGCACCCCTGATGGATTTTAAAAAAGTAAACTAAATTACTATCGAGTTAATCTCCTGATGCCACAATTTAAGAAGAGACAATACAAAAGGACATTACAAATGGACATTATTAAAACATGGCTTACAGTATAAGAATATAGAACTATACAAGCAGTTAAAACTTTAAAAGCACAAATGGGCATTAAAAAATACAAATTCGGTAAAAGAGAGATTCGAGTGAATTATAATGCAAAAGGCACTATAAAATTGAGAAAAAAAAACAAGCAGCAAGGTATTTGAATGGGCAAGGCAACTAGAAAGTTAAACTGTTTTGGTCAAGGGGACCTCCTGGCCAGGGACTAATAAATGATTTCTGAGAGAATTTGTAAAGGAATTTGTACTTACGCGGCGGCATGATGTTTCCTCTTCCATGCCTGGTAGTAATCTTCGTCGATGTCTTTCATGGCCAGGCAGAGAGTCCTCAGACCTTCCCCGGCAAAATCCTGCAAATGTTCCAGGGAATAAGAGGCAATGTTAGATACTATTGGCTTGATGGAAGAGCAAGTGGTTAAAGTTATGTGAACATTGTCTGGCAGCAGGACATGCATACTGAATTGGAAACTACATGTACAGTGCTTATACTGTCAAACTAAACCCTGAAACTCAATACTGGGTTTTGCCCTTCGCCGACGTAGTTTTATAAACACTGTTTGGATGTGGTACCCGCTACTAGATTCAAACCAGCTAGTTGACCCCAGCAAGCTCAGTGGTAGTGTGGTAAGACGTCCGCACTATATAAGCAGGAGGTTGTGGGTTCGAGTCCCACCTGAGTAGATTGTGAAATTTTTCACATAATCGCTCGGTACAACACTGACTGTATGTGTTTATAAAATACTTCAGCAAAAGGCAAAACCCAATATTGAGTTTACATCACCCCGACGCAAAAAATCCATCTTATGAATAAAACCTGAAATCTGAACAGGGGACAGAAATCATCATTACATGTATATCACGGTTTCAAATCAGTTAAATTCAAAGAGAAAACTCAAAAAATGTCCTGCTCACTTGCAGATGCTGGTTAGTGATGTCAATCAGCTGTTCGCTGCCTTCCCCAAGCCGAGCCATGATGACGTTGTCGGCACCCTTGCAGTAGAGTCGGATCTTGTGGCCCTGCCGCACCACCACCGACATGCGCTTGCGCACGTTGTTGAAGTCCAGAATGTGCAGCAGTTCGTACTTGTCTGCTTCGCCTTGCACCTCTACGGTGATGGTGGTTGGGGTCCTTGACTGTTAAACCAAAAGGAACACATTTTTTTAGGACAGGCTTTCAAAATGAGTCTGCAGAATGTCACTACAGAGTGGTCTCAAAAAAATTCACACTTTTCGGATGCAGATTTCTGAGAATGTGGGAGACATGTTAAAATCGTTTTTAACATATTCCTAAACTACAGCATCTTTGTGGTATGTGGTAAAAACGGCGCTGAAAATAAAGCCTAAATTAAGAAATGGCGATGGTTTAAAAAAGATGTTCAAAAACCAGTTTGTCCACATGCATTTCCATGAGATATGGTCAACACAATAGCACTGGCAAGGCTATTTTGTATTGTTACATTGTTAAATTTGCATTTCTAACTGCAGTAGGCATAGCATGCATGCCTTACTATAAACCTCTTTATTAAACCCATAAGCACCTGTATTATATTGTATTACACATCGCGCAGTACGTGCCGCACGTGTGCCAATCTCCTTATAAGGAGATTTTTAGCACTATGCGTGCGAGGCACATACCATAGACATTGCAAGAGGTTTTTTTCACAAAACATGAACAACAATTGTTGAAAACAAATTGTTGAAACTTTGCAATTTGTTTTACTTATTTGGACTTTTTGACGAAAACAGGTACTCATGAATAGGACTAAATATGTGCTAAAGTCCCTAACCGGTTTTTAAACGTACTTGTCTAATACCGGCCAAGCATGTATTTATTCCCTTAAGTGAAGATCACCACTGCCAATATTAAAGTCAGTATTCTTGAAGAAAATTAATTACCTTAAAGACGAAGCCAAAGTTCCTTGCGGCAGATACGAGAGCAGCTTCATCGGGTGACTGGGCCTGGTACTCCAACTTGTCTAAACGGTTAGAAAAACAAAAGAGGTTGCGAAGAACAAAATACGTAAAGCATGTCATACACAACTCTATGGGATCAAAAAATAGGACTTGAAATTGGTGATTTGTAGAAGTGAAGTAAAATTGTGAAGTGTGGGGTGGGGGACAAATTTCTCATTTACAAATTCTTTACGACAGGCAGTTGAAATTACATTTATGTAGTTAATATGTTCATTTCATTAATTGCAAAGAGATTCAAATAGTATACCATTATCCCAAGTAGCAACAACAATTTTTGAAAGCCAACATTTTTGCTGACACAGCATGACACGTTTAGACAAAGACAATTAATTAAGTCAGCCATGCTAACATGACCAAATATCCAAACTAATTTCGATCTAAAGTTCGTATTAATCGACATGTCAAAAAAGTAAAATATTTACCCAAATTTTTTTGGAAGTTCGTATTTGTGAAAATGCAAGATGCCACTTGTGTTTTCCCTAAAAAAAGCTATATTCCACGATTTTTACACTATTTCTTTAAAATATGCATAGTAGACACATGAAAGATTACAAATGTCAATAAATCGGAAAATCAGAAAAAAATCTCCCCTATTTTTCCCCCTTTTTTCCCACTACCGTGACTATGTTCCATCTCATTTTAAAGAACACCTCACAAATTAGCGCCCAGATAAGTATCTTTAGCGTAGCGTAAACGCAGTTTGCATTCAAACTCAATCATCATGCGTGGGTTTGTAATATTATACAAATATTGAGTGGCTCAGCGTGGAATGGGAGGAATATTATCGCAAGGTAAAATCTGGACTTTTCCATTTCACGAGGCGAAGCCGAGTGAACTGGAAAAGTCCAGATTTGACCGAGCGATAATATTCCTCCCATTTCACAATTTAAAGCCACTCAATATTTGTTTTATATAACTGACATATAGATCCTTGTCATTTGATAAATTTGAACTTTTATTTCAATACAAAACTGGAAGAAAATGTATTTCTCTCTTCCAAACTACCCCTTCACGAAAATGTTTGAACCCAATGCTGTAGTGCTGGCTCTTTGGAACAATACGCGCTACGCGCAATGCTGAACGCGCACAACAGCATGCATTTGCACACAAATACCGCGTCATGATCCTAATTGTTGAATAGTATTTCCCATTCCCCATGGGCGGATAGTACTTTTTGAGCCGCGGCGTGAATGGGAGCAATAACGAATGTCATGTGATGTGAGTTCCACCAATCAAATGACGAGGATCTGTATGTCGGTTATATAACAAAGATTGTTCCAGCTCCATGATTTTTCCCCATAATAAAATTCCACGAACGAGGTAGATTGTAAAAACGCCATGCACACCATCTCCAAAGGACAGAATCTGACAGCCTACCTTCCACAATCTCAGGCATGACCGTGTGGCACAGCGCCAGCAGGCGGAAGAACATCCAGCAGTGTCGGTCCCCTTTCTCCATGGCGGTCAGCAGACTGTTGTCGCAGAATCTGAAGTCGGGCTCGTACATGGGGTTCTTGGAGAAATCAACCATGGGGGTTTGCTGCACAAAGCACAAAAGGTCAGAGGTTATGCCAAGGGTCAGGGTGGTAAAAAGTCAAGGCAAAAAGGAACAACTGTAACAGAACTTGTGGTCTTGTGACTTTTAAAAGTTTTGATTCTTAAAGGGAAAATACAACATTTGCAAACATCAAAAAATAAAACTACCGAATCATTTTGAAATACCTTGCTGGACTGTTAGTGAATGACAGTGTAAAGCATCCTGTAAAATCATGGCACCTGGTATACTGTCATTTTCAAGAAAAGTGGTATTTTTGTATCAATTTCCAACGCTGGTCGGCCGACCAGCGTTGGAAAAAACTGGCTTTTTTCAAATACTGGCCCCAATTGACCATCGCACTTGTTTGCAATCGATTACACATCTATGAACGGGTACAAGCCAGCTAGACTGGTTCCCTGACCTTACAATTCCCCAATGTATGTAAACTGCTCTGTTTCTTCTTATATGGAGTCAAGGAACCAGACTACACGAAAATGATTGCTTTTCTTGGTTTTTATAGCATTTTCGAACCCAAAACCTCAAAAAAGTCAGTGTAACTATATTTGCTATATACTTCCAACCCCCCAATTCCATCCATTTCTGAAAATTACAGCAAAAGCAAATGATGTATTTTCCTTTTAAAGGGGTCCAAGAGATTATTTTTCTTAGGAATACATTCTGTGCAACTTTCTACTCCTCTTAAATATATGAAAACTATTAGACACCCCTTTTCGGTTAATTTTATTGAAGAGTGCACTTCTTTATTTGTCTCCCCATGCTTTACTGGACAACTGTTGCCGTGATGTTGTTTCAGGAAGACACTGTTCAGTTTTGGGTTTTCAGTTCAAGACTGTACCACAGCCATGGTTCTTATTATCAAACAATGCCTTCAAATGTATGGTAAGTACAGGTACTCACATCAGTGATCTCTATCACTTCACCGTTTTCATCCTTGAGTTCTCCAAACTTCCTACCGGCAATGGAGGCCTTGTTGAATGTCATGATGTTCTGTGTGGAGATAGAGTAAGTAAGGTGTGATTTCACTTAATACATGGAAAGGGTAAAGAAAAATAGGCCTATCACCTACATGTAAAACAACTTTCACAATAAACTAAATTATAAAACAATATCTGGCACAGACATTCAATACTCGACATATAGACCAATGCATGCTATCACTGTAAACTCACTAGAGGCCCCCTTCAATGGCGGAAGCATTGTGCTAGCTATTGTTCAGACAATCCGCCAAGGGGCAGTTGTTTTGTACAATAGCTAGCACAATGCTTTCACCATTGGAGGGGGCATCCTTGAACGTACAGAGGGGGCATCCTTGAACATAGATCAAATTATCTACATATGCATTTGTGAGTAACTAACAGGGCTCTCTCACCCTGGCTTATGTCCGGGTACTGGAAAGTCAGTGTCACCAATATAGTAGGCAAAGATCGTAGAACGCTGCGCCCAGTAGGTAGTAGGCAAGCCTTCAAAGCTATGAGGGTTGGCAAAAACTGAGAAAAACGCGGAGCAAACGCGCAGTGCTTGGTAAGCATGATTATGAAAAACTGTATACAGCACAGGTAGTGACCATTTAAACTTTTGATAAAGAATTTGCGATTTAATATTTATGCGAAATTCATAAATACCTCAGACAGTTTAGCTATTCCTATTGGTCGAGAGCCCGTCACGTGGCCGGTCTTAAACAGATGATAAAGACATGGCTAGCTGGTCTTAAACACTTTTCCAGTGTCACAATAAAATGTGGACTCCTAAAAATCCAGTGCCTCTTACCGTTTCATTGGTTGAACGTTCACAATCCTCACGTAGGCATGCGCAACACTACCAGCGAGTCAGAATTTTATAGTTCTAAATTCAAAACGCAACGCCCCAGGTACGGTGCGTTCTGCGCGACATCGCGCAGAGCATGCTACGCGCGCGTCAACCTCCATAAAAGGGTTGTTTACATCTTACTCTCCAGCTGAACACTCCATTATTTTGCTAGAGGGATGTTTCAAAAAGCATGAAGTGAACTTGTTGAACAAAATCGGGATTTTGTGAACGAATTATTTGATATTTTTTACAGAAAAGGTATTTATGAATGGGAATAAATATGTGCTCGGTCGGTATTTATCACTCTGTTTAATACCGCTTAGAGTCTGGGTGCTGATAATTACCCTCGCTTCCCGCTTGGGTAATTATCAGCACCCAGACTCTAAGCGGTATTAAACAGAGTGATAAAAACCTCCGGAGCACACATTTATTCCCTTATTAAGCTCTACTGTCTAGTTTACATTGCACAACATGATTGCTAACCAAACATTGCCTACTGCAATGGTGGCTGATCACAGGGAAACGACATGGTCCCGTGATACAGTGACGTCATCAATCAGAACTTCTTGCTGCCTACCTGTGTCAGGGTACCAGTTTTGTCGGTGAACACATACTGAATTTGTCCGAGCTCTTCATTCAGGTTGGTAGACCTGGCCTTAGCCGGGGTGTCCTTGGGTGCATAGTACATGGCCTTATCCCAAGAGATCCACAGACTCTGAAACATGCGGATCAACTCGATACTGAAGGGGAAGGGGGAAATGAAAGTAAGCACGTCAAATACTTTATGGTTACTCATTTGGTTATAGAATGTCTACACAGGAAGCACGTCAAGTCGCTATCTGGGCGACAAGCCATCAGCAGTCTCTACAAGTAAATAATATTTTTTTGCTGTTAAGGCCCAGATATGCCTTGTGTAAAGAAAAAAAAACACAGGCATGTATAAGATTGTCATTATACAGGCTTTCAAGCAGACCCAAGTGAAAAGGTAGAACAGTAGGATCAAAATAAAAATTAAAAAACAGGACATTTGGAGGACAAAATCAGGATAAAAGTAGGACTTTTGCTGGATTTTCAATGAAACATATTCAATGAGATTCCATTTTTTGGAGTTGTGGGACAAAAAAAGTAGGAAAAGTAGGAATTTCAAGTAGGAAAAGTTGGACCAAGGTAGGAAAAGTAGGAGCAAGGTGGAAAAAGTAGAAAAAGTAGGAATACTTAATAGCCTGCATTACACCATACCAAAAGTCAAGTTGTTCATTCCTGGTTACTTGTGACCTGAGTTAAGTATTCTACTTCACAGTTGGCTTCTGATTAGCACCCCTTGAATAAAGACACTGACAAACTTGCCAACCGCCAACACAGGGCTGGATTGCTCAGTTGGTAGAGCACTGGAACAGCAATCCGGACATCGCAGGTTTGAACCCCACTCCAATCAATTTCTTAGTTTGATTTTATAATTACTGGAAATGCAGTTTCCCCTTGTGGTTTAATAGTTGATGATTTGTATTAAATAAAAAGCCATATCCTCTCTGAGTGATCCCTGTTTTTTATCAACCCAGATTTACAGCATTGCTAAAAGTTTCCAGCATCATGACTTTGGGCGTGATCCCTGGCTACATGGCATGTACAGGTTTATGGCTTCTGACTAGCATCCCTGTACAACGATAGTGACATTTCCCTTGTGGCTCAGTTGACGACATAAAAAACTTCCGTTAGGCCAACAAAAAAAAGTCTCCGGTTTCTGGTATGCGCGCGCGTCACCGTAGCCATGCGCGTCGGCAAAAGGAAAAAGGTTTTTTTTTCAATGAAAGATGATGTCTCAAAACCGCCAAACTCACTGGTTTGACTGGAATCCTGCTGCTGCACAATTTTAACATGTTTTTAGATTGGGTTATGGTTGAGAATAAGCTTTATGTGGCCTCTCTGGACTCCCATATATTTGCACTAAGTTTAGTCGGGCACCATTTGCAGTCATCAGCCGACATTTGAAGCAAAAAAATCAGGTTAAAAAAAAAAAAAGCCGCGTCGCCACACCACTTTTTGGGCAAGCTCCATACCAGAAAGTTGTTTTTTGGCCTTACGGTAAGCAATGCTCTTGAAATGACACCCGGAGTACGTCCAGACTTACGTGACATAGAGCGAGATGGGAACCAGCGTGTTCATGACGATGATGTAGGAGAAGAACACCAGCGTTGCAATGAGTGCCGGACCATCATATTCCCAAGGAAGGTATGCCTGCAACAACAAATGGAAAGAACACAAGATTTAACCCTAACTCCCTGAGCTCTCTTGCCCAGATGTACATGTAGCCTGAATCCCCCAAATCATCTACATTTTGTCACTGGAGGCCTCTGCCTGGATCCTTCAAAATCCTCCACTGGGTTTGCTGGCATGTCATCACATGACTTCAATATTGTTATGAGTTCTTTAGCCTGTGTAACTTATTGAAATCCTTCATTGTTATCCTGTATTGTGGATTGGCAATGCCAAGGCCCTAAAAAATTGGAGTAAAGATGCTGTGCAATAAACAGTGGTATACGCTGGATGCCTGCCCAAGTATTCATGCAAAAAGAAGTAACAGCCTGAATCCTCCAAAATCAAATTTTGGCAAAACCAGCCAGAGCCTCAATCCTCGAATTTCATCCAGCCTCAATTGGGGCCTGCTAACCTGGATCCTCTATTATCCTTCCGAGGCAAAATCCTGCTAAGCCCTTAAACCTGCAAAATCCTCTGATGCTTCAATTTTGACACGCCCTCAATTCTTTGAAATCCTCCATTAGGCAAGGGTTCATCGAAACGTCTGTTTGCAAATTTGGCTAAATTTCATGCGGCCATTAGGCAGCAAACATAAGTCTGGTTCCCAGACCACATGATTCTGACTATTCTGACAGATCTTAGGTCAGGCAGCTGCCACAGCTGAAAATAAACGTGATCAAAAAGGGTAGGATACTGCCCATTTCCCAAAATTTCCAAACTTGCCAGATTACACTTTGAATAACACTCGGATATGTGTGCAATTGCTCCCGTTTTTCCAGGCGTAAAATAATTTTTATTTTCAAACAAAGTACCTGTCACATTTGTTATCAGTTTTGAAAATTCTGAATTCATACATTTTTGGCTAGTATTAAAAAATTTCTATGCCAGGCATATTACCCAGTATCTGTACCAAATGTCCAACGTAGACGCTGTGCCTCAAGTATGCACTCGTACCAGGGCTGGTCTTTGCCGTGTACCGTTTTGTAATATGATGATGGTTTACCTGACTTAAAATTTGTCAGGATAGTCAGCATATTTTTTTTCACCACATCAAAATTACCAGATACTTGACAGCACAGTGTTTGAAATAATTACCTGGAATGCGTTGCCGTAGTTGGCCTCCCATACAGAACTGGCAATGGCACAGATGAGACACAACACAAACAGAATGACGAAAATCTGCAAAACAAAAATAAGCACAGAAAGTCAGAGAAAATCACCAGAACCAGCTTCTTGACCATCCTGTCAACACTAGTCCTCTTCAGCCTAGGCTGGCTGCTGTTGCTCAACCCTACCCCAACCCCCTACTCACAACCAGAACCAGCTTGTTGACCATCCTGTCAATACTAGTCCTCTTGAACTTGGCCTGGCCGTTGTTCTGCATCAGAATCCCACCCTCCATCCCCAACCCCTATCCCAACCCCCTACTCACAGCCAGAACCAGCTTGTTGACCATCATGTCAATGCTATTCTTGACCATCCTCTCAATGCTAGGCCTCTCGAACCTAGGCTGGCTGCTGTTCTGCACCAGAAGCCCATCCTCCATCCCTTATCCACACCCCAACCCCCAACTCACAGCCAGAACAACCTTCTTGACCAACCTGTCAATGCTAGTCCTCTTGAACCTAGGCTGGCTGCTGTTCTGCTTCAGAATCTCAGAACCCCACCCTCCATCTCCCATCCCCAACTCACAGCCAGAACCAGCTTGCTGGTCATCAGGTCAATGCTAGTCCTCTTGAACTTTGGCTGGCTGCTGTTCTGCTTCAGAATCCCAGGACCCCACCCTCCATCCCCCACCCCTACCCCAACCCCCTACTCACAGCCAGAACCAGCTAGTTGACCATCATGTCAATGCTGGTCCTCTTGAACTTTGGCTGGCTGCTGTTCTGCTTCAGAATCCCAGAACCCCACCCTCCATCCCCCACCTGTACCCCCAACCCCCTACTTACAGCCAGAACCAGCTTGTTGACCATCCTGTCAATGCTAGTCCTCTTGAACTTTGGCTGGCTGCTGTTCTGCTTCAGAATCTCAGAACCCCACCCTCCATCTCCCATCCCCAACTCACAGCCAGAACCAGCTAGTTGACCATCATGTCAATGCCTGTCCTCTTGAACTTTGGCTGGCTGCTGTTCTGCTTCAGAATCCCAGAACCCCACCCTCCATCCCCCACCCCTACCCCAACCCCCTACTCACAGCCAGAACCAGCTAGTTGACCATCATGTCAATGCCTGTCCTCTTGAACTTTGGCTGGCTGATGTTCTACTTCAGAATCCCAGAACCCCACCCTCCATCCCTCACCCCTACCCTAACCCCCTACTCACAGACAGAACCAGCTTGTTGACCATGATGTCAATGCTAGTCCTCTTGAACTTGGCCTGGTCGCTGTTGCTCAACCCTACCCCAACCCCCAACTCACAGCCAGAACCAGCTTGTTGACCATCCTGTCAATGCCAGTCCCCTTGAACCTAGGCTTGCCGCTGTTCTGCTTCAGAATCTCAGAACCCCACCCTCCATCTCCCATCCCCAACTCACAGCCAGAACCAGCTTGTTGGCCATCAGGTCAATGCTAGTCCTCTTGACCTTTGGCTGGCTGCTGTTCTGCTTCAGAATCCCAGAACCCCACCCTCCATCCCCCACCCCTACCCCAACCCCCTACTCACAGCCAGAACCAGCTAGTTGACCATCCTGTCAATGCTGGTCCTCTTGAACTTTGGCTGGCTGCTGTTCAGCTTCAGAATCCCAGAACCCCACCCTTCATCCCCCACCCCTTCCCCAACCCCCTACTCACAGCCAGAACCAGCTAGTTGACCATCATGTCAATGCCTGTCCTCTTGAACTTTGGCTGGCTGCTTTTCTGCCTCAGAATCTCAGAACCCCACCCTCCATCTCCCATCCCCAACTCACAGCCCGAACCAGCTAGTTGACCATCATGTCAGTGCCTGTCCTCTTGAACTTTGGCTGGCTGCTGTTCTGCTTCAGAATCCCAGAACCCCACCCTCCATCCCCCAGCCCTACCCCAACCCCCTACTCACAGCCAGAACCAGCTTGTTGACCATCCTGTCAATGCTGGTCCTCTTGAACTTAGCCTTGCCGCTGTTCTGCATCAGCTTGGTGTCCCGGCCAGCGAAGATGACGATGCCGTAACACCATTTGGTGTTGCGCAGACGGCAACCTCGCAGTAGAATCTGATCGTTGGTTAGCGGGAAAGTATCCCCCTCCCACGTCAGGGTCCCCTCAAACCTATCCAGCTTGTTATTTGGGGGCTCGCATTTCAATTCCGCTATGGAAAAAAAAGAACAAATCAAACATGAATTGATTAATTAAAAGTGCATAGGATCATTTTTAGTGGGGTGCTTTTTGTGCAATTAATTTTCATTTGAAACAACAAATTGCTAACAAATACTGAGTAGGGCGCGACATCTGTTCAGCTCAGTGAATGCTTTACGTGTTGAAAAATAGAAAAGAAAATCTACGCACAATTGTCTGGTCTTGTGGGGTTTCTTGGGGCCATGTTGCATTAGTAAATAGTAAATTTATGAGGAGAGTGGTTGTTGAATTCTCATTTTTTTTTTTTTTTGGTTAACTTCTTCAGGAAAGTTTCCCAAAAGAAAACTGACAGAATTTCAGTGGGTTTTAACTCCCTCCCCCCCCCCCCCCCCCCGGCCCAATCAAATCCTCAAAAAAAGTGTTGAGTGTCTTTAATTTTTTTTTTTCAGGTAAATGTGACAGACCTTTAAAATCTTTGAATCGGCCTTGATCTTCACCCAACAGGGCTGTCTCTGGCAACGCCTGGCGTACTTTCAGATTCGTCTCCCTAGCAAATCATCAACAAATTAAACACATGGTTAACCTGTATTTCTGCATTATGTACATGTATAATACTATAAAAATGGTTACAATACAAATATGTGACCTGTTCTGTCAAAAGCAGACGCTTCTGGGCCGAGGGTGAAATTGAGACAGGGCCAAAAAACGCTGTGGGGGTGATTTTTATCAATTTTCAAATTTTTGCATATTTGTAATCCTGAACATGTCTAAAATATATTATTAAAGTTTGAAACCCTAATTTGAACTCTACATATACTATTTTTGATGATTTTGATAAGGTATATCAGTTAAAGAAATAACTGTTTTGTGACGTTCGTGGCCATTTTCTCCGTTTTACACTTTTCGACACAATGAACTTCAAAATAGCATAACTCTGCCCAGGAATGACCGGTTTCAAAAATTAAACCACCTATTAAAAGGAAAAAGAACATATGTTAACAATATGTAAAAATATCATTTTCGACCTTATGCCCAGAAAAGTCTGATTTTGACAGAACAGGTCACATATATGGACCATTCCGGATTTCGGCTATAAGCCCACTAGGGCTGTGCCGAATATACCGAATATTTGATGATCAACTGAATATCCGAATAGCATTTTTTTTTTATTCACATATTACAGAAATGCGAGCGGACTCGTGGAGATGATGGAAAACGTCCATTAAAAGTTAAATAGTCAATTTTCAGTAACTATGCCACATCCTACGCCACCTCAAATGATTACAAAAGTTACGCCATGATTTGTTGCCTAAGTCGCAGTCTTAATGCACTGTGCAAATGTTGTCACGTGTCGTAAATGAAATGTTGCACAACTTGAAATGTTGCCCAACTTGCACACAAAAAATGTGGCATAAGTGGAATTACGCCATGCGTAAAGCTTCGTGAAGTCGGCTGCAGGTGCTATGCAGTACCGAAGTGTGACGTCATTTAGAACCAGAAAGTGTAGTGCAAACGAATGGAGTACACGCGCATGTTGGTTCACGGGCTGAATCACGCGCCAATGTCTTTCACACACATTTTGTGCGCGTGACGTATTCACTTCGGTACTCAATTGGGTTAATTTCATTGTTTAATCCAAACTGTTTTGGCTTCTCCAATTTGGCCGGGGGTCTAGCACCCCGTCTCCTTTTACTCACCCATCCAGTTCAGCTGTCTCAATGTACACCAAGCTATGCGGCTCACTGGACGACAAGAGCAGGAGATCAGCTGCAACAAACTCATTGTTCTTCATTTTGATGATGTCACCAACCTGGACATCCTGCCAGCGTGTCGTTTTGCGCCTAAAGGTCAGAGGTCAGAGGTCAGATGTCAAAGGTCATCTTCAAAATGACAAAGCTTTATATTTAGAGATACGAATTCTCATGCAATTAAATTTTAACTGGCACACTCTTCATGCAACTTTTTACCGGTGCAGCACGCAGTTGCAGCTGGTGGTTTCGAATATCTAAATATTCGGTCAAACAGTTTTGAGTAATCTGATACTAAATTATTCGAAAATGGACCACCCTAACATGTACTTACTCATCTTCTACCAGGATATCTGTCTCTCTGTTGTTGACTACACTATCACTTCTGTGTCGTTGCTATAGAAGTAGGAATAAAAAGACCAGTCAACGTACTTAAAGGGTATTTGCAACACTTTTTTAACAGAAATACAGGAAAGTTTTTAAAAGGTAATGATTATTATTTTTTGTGTATTAATATCAAGTCTCACTTTTTCACTACACTGCAATTAAAAATAAAAAGATCAACAAACTTAGCTGAGCTGGCCTTACGTTATGGTCTCATGCAAAACCTTTTTTCAAAGGCAAACGCCTTTGAGAAATGTTTGCTTAAAGGTAGAGTGGACCATTTACAGCTATCAAAAAGTGAACCGACCAAATTACTGTTAAAAAGCTTAGTACTTGTTTTAAAGATAGTAATGACACTAAACTCCCTGTGAAATTATTCCTTCTGGCATGCTGTCATTTTGAAAAAAAATAACAATAAAAGAAGGTCATTTCCAAAGATGTGTCAAGTGACACATTTTTTGAAATTCCTGTTTGTTGTTGGTTTGCAATTGGGCGATTCTGTGAATGGGTACAAGCATTGACTCGATGCACATGCGTGCGTGGCTGCTATTATTTATCGGTTCAGTGTGTGACATCACGCATCTACAATCGGCTGAATGAGAATGAAATATGTCACCAAGTATCTTTATAGAAGCCAAGCTCATTCTACAGATTTCATCAAAAACCTGGCAGATACTCACAAAGTCATCCACCCCGTCCTTGGTGGCTGTGACTGCCAGCACGAAGACAAGAGGCAGACCGGTGGTGACGGGATTCAAGGAAGAAATGGGCCCAATTAGCTATCAAGCAAAACAAAAGAAATTGATAACATTCAGTTAAATACGTTGTAATAATAATGCGGTGTGTATATAGCGCATTATACCAAAAGTAGGTCTCACAAGGATAATAATTGTAAAGCGCTTTGAAGTTTGTTTTTTTTTAATTTGATTTTTTTAATTTTTTTTTTTTTTAATTATTAGCACCGTATTATTATTCTTTGGGAAAAAGCATAGTATATTGGGTATGTTTATTTATGCAACAAAGGAAAGAGATTCCAATAATATACAGTTAAAGGACGAAGAAAAACAAAAATGTAATGCAAGTTACCATCAAATTGTCCTAATGCGGACTGCATATAAATATCACCAAGTACACGGTACAAATCCATTACTTGCTACTGCGGGATCGAAACGCATTTACAGGAAGCAAGTTGCCCTGCCAGTGCCAAGGTCGACTCATGTTTAAGCCTGAAAGTAGAACACTGGAAACCAGCTAGGCCAAGGTACCAATGGTTTCACAATTGTCACATGAAGTGACATCTGGCAAAAATTATTTATTTTTATTGTCATCAAAAAGCAAAACCGACGAACCGAAAAGTTTCTTTACCTGCATAATAAACAAGATGAGGAAGTAGAAGTTGGCAATGCGGAGGAACTGTTCAAACAGGTTGACGGGAATGAAGGTCAGGATGTTGTACTTGGACGTACGGATGTAATTGTTCTACAAAAAAAGGATGAGGAACTAAGAATCAAATATATTCGTTATTAACCACAACTCCCAAATCCGTTATAACATACATGTAACCTTGGCAAGCCTACCAGTACTGGCTAAGTGTAAGGAAGTAACATTTTCTATTCAATTGGTTCAGAATGGCAACAACAAAAAATTGTAGAGCAAGTTGTTGCCTTAACGTGATTGAATGTTTTTTTAATCCAATTAGCACAGAGACTTGGCTTACTGACTACACATTTATCATGAAAAAAAAACACAAGAGCCAGACTGATGCACATGTGGTGTAGATGCCACAAAATATACACGAATCAAGCTTTGTAAAGCTGCTTAAAACCAGTGTATCGGTGTATGTGTATGTACAGATGCAAGTCACAAGGAACTTTTAAATAGTATGTAAGTGAAAAAAAAAACAGTTAAATTCACAAAATGACAGTCAGTCAGTCAGTCAGGTGCAAAGATGACACTAGGCTGGCCCTCTGGGACCAGCAAAGATTCAACACTGTGCAATAAACCAACGGTATATTTCTTGTATGTCAACTGTATACATTTGTGTACACTGTATTCAATTTAGTAGTAAATAGTAAAGTCTGTCCCGAGCCAATGTGGCTCATCAGGCCGGTGTTTATCTCCGGTTTCAGTAGCATGAAACGACTGAGAATATTTTTACTCCCCCTGGATGGGATGCTAGTCCATCACAGGTTACTCCCCAGCTAGTGCCGGTACCCATTTATACTCCTGGGTGGAGAGGGGCAAGTGGGGGTGAAGTGCCTTGCCCAAGGACACCATATATGACCAGCGGCTGGATTCGAACCCCGGACTCTCTGATCATGAGTCATGAACCCTAACCACTAGGCCACACACTCCCCTTTATTCAATTTATTGGTCTGATATTTTTAAAAAATGCATGTTCTCATCAGTAATTGTTCCCCTCATTACTAGGATTACTTCTCTGTTGCCCATGGCAATCCTTCCTCTGCAACCTGCTGAATACATCAAAGAGGACTAATAATCGTTATGGAAACCATAAACAGCTGGCAAAGCTTTTTGCATTTTGATAGCGAAAGGATTACAGTCTGTCTGCTGAATTTTTTTTTTAAATAAATTACTTCGTCCTGCATCATCAGGACTCGGGGGTCGCCAGATCAGTTTGAAATGGAGAGCCTAACAACAACATTGCAGACAGACCACCCCATGTTGGAAGGAAGCAAGAATATTGTATGCGCCATCTGGCTTTGAACCATCTGGCCATGGGGGCGCTGTTCAAAGCGGACAAGACTGGACAATATCGGACAATAGGTGATGCTTTTCCCTATAAATTATAATTATGTCGACAGACACAAGTTTGTTGACAGGGCAATGATTTTGCCAAGATGTGCAAAAGTTTAAAGTTTATAATGGGAGGGTGGCGGGGGGTGGCATGGGGGGGGGGGTGTCACATCCCCCCTAGCGATATCCCTTCATTGGCAACAGACTAAACCCGAACTTTGTATTGATGAAAGCAACACGATCTCAGTAAATTGCAAATTCACTTATTGATCCACGATCAGCCACAAACAATCCTCGTCGCTCATTCGTTTTGAGGTTCTCATAGCTGCACTTCCAGTTTCCTCAACCAAGAGATAATGTGTCCATCTAACTGTTGATGCCATTCTTCCCATGCGACCTTTAATGCAGGGTATATCAGATGGTCGATTGTCAAGGCAGATCCACAGGTGCAGAGATCAGATGTTTCTGCTCCTATCTTGACCATGATGTCTTTTGTGTGACCCGAGCCAGACCGGAGCCTGTTGAATGTCGCCCACATGCATGGTTCGCTCCAGATAATATGCACAGGTTACGAACAAGTATACAGAGATCAATAAGTGCATGTGCCCCCAGGACAACTGAATTGCAACAGATGCAAAATCAAAATGCAGAGCAAAAGCGATTATGCAGTGTAATACATTTCATAAGCTCGTACATTGTACATGTATGTTACACCTTGCTCACAATGTATGAAAGTTTTGGATAAACTCTACATGTACTCCCAAGCACTCATGTACTATCGGTAAATTGAAATGTGTCATGAAAATATTGTGTATTACATGTAGATTAGCTGTGCATACAGTTGCAGGAATTTCTTTCAAATGATTGTATTTTTTATGACTGTCCATGAACATGTACATGTGTCATGCATATTGTTTGGGCGTCATTATCGAGGTCGACTATAAACAGATAATGAACATGTCCATATATGGAAATATTAAGAACTTACCGCATATTTGAACTGGGAATTATACTCCCTGTCATTGGCCTTCAGGGAACGCTCCGTTTCTGTAATCAAACCAAAAAAAAGGAGAAAGTCAATTATTTTCTGAAGCACACATACATTCCTGCAGCAACGAAGCTACATCAATTTGTAAATGTCATTCACTTGTAAACAGCATCGTAAATTATTTTTCATGATCGTCTTTGGCTGCACAGTCTGTATGATGTGCACCACTCTCAATGTACAAACGTATCACCTCTGAACATCCATAGACCTTGTTCATATGAACTGTTAATATTGGAAAATTTCAGTAAACAAGACAAGCAGGGCCTCAGTAAAGCTGCTCCCAGAGTGCACGCAATTTTATTCAATGGATTCAGAAAAGCTATTTGCTGGAAGTCTTTTCATGCATCTGGTCTACACAATGGAATGGATGAGGGCCTATTTTTTTTTTTTTTTTTTGCATTCATATATTGACAATTGAAGTTCATATCACTTTTCATTTTGACAAACAGTTCTGGAGAAGAAATGTGTCTTGAAGAATAAAAAGAATAATAGTAAATTCTTACAATAACAATAGGTGTTGGGCATCTGGTCTACACAATGGACTGGATGAGGGCCCATTCATGTGCATATAAAACAGGCTAATCCTATACAATAGCACTGCTCAGCTCTTTTCACCCGTCAAATTGTCGCAACTGACCGTCGGTTAGTCAGTCAGTCAGACATGAACAAATAGGATACTGCATATGTAAAGGCTGGTGCATGGAACCAGAAAATACCGGATCAGTGTCACACAAGAGCACTTTTAGTTTCTCGGAAAAGTGAGGGTATTATGTTTTCAGTTTTTCATTGTATACATTTATTACCTGATAACAAGGTTTTGAAGGTTTCAGAAGTGTATTGTATTTATTGAAAATGAGTTTAAAAAAAATAATTAACAAAATTAATTTGGATTGGAAAATGGCATATCTACATGCACATGTATTTGTATAGACAAATCCAACGACAGCCATCTTCTGAGGCAGTGGCGTAGCCAGGAATTTTTCAGTGGGGGGGCGCTGGGGGGACTGGAACATTTCATGGGGGGGCGTCATGTAGATCAATGATAATTTTTTTAGAAACTCAAAATCTAAGTGGGGGGCGACTGGGGGGGGGGGGGGGGGGGGCGACAAGGTTTCATGGGGGGGCGACACGCCCCCCGTGGCTACGCCACTGTTCTGAGGTGGCACCAGCTTTACGCTCACTGGTAAAGCACCGCTCCTTTGACCAATAGGGTTACCCAAATGCACACGCGCCTTGTCTTCAAGAACATATGCAACATGCATGTGGTTCCACCTCGAAAATGGCTTCTAATTTTGTTCGTCGGATTCACTTATACATTGTACATGTACATGTAGTCTTTTATACTGGCAAACAAAATGAGCGCAGATGTCATGTTTACAAGCACAAATATATTGTTGGATGAGATAGCCTCATGAGATGACAAACTGCACACAGACAAGAATACATGCAAGGGTGAAATTTAATGTATGTATGTATACATGTCGACTTTAAAGATACGGTACATGTATGTCACAAGGATAATTTGCTTTTTGTGCTTTCTTTTGTGTGTGAAGCAATGAAATTGTAGGGTACATAATTAACAACTAACCTGTTGAACTTTCAGCTCAGTGGATAAAAGACAGAAAAACGTATGCACAATTTTTTGGGGTCTCGTAACTGGACTCCGTTGCCGCACCCTATTTTTGCCGTGAGCACCCTATTTTTGAAACATGGGTATTTTTTTCCAAAAGATATGCATTTCGGGCAAAAAAAAAATAATTTCACAGGGCATTTGATACCAGTCCTTTAATTCTTCAAGAACTTTGAGAAAGGTTTCTGTCATTAAATCGGAAGGTTCTTTCCCGGGTAATTTCAGTTTAATATTGGCTTAATACCCACAAAGGCAGCAAAATGAAGAGCCAGCCCGTGCTAAAACTTTAATGAAAGAAATGCGATCAGGCTGTGGCAATATGATACACTGTGTCAAGCCTTGAAACCCGGTTTCTAAAAATTGGACCGGATTACATGCATATTATGCACATGCTCCTGTTGTATGCACTAAATGGTGAAGCGGCCTAATTTACTACGTGTACATGTACATGTACCACCTATCCATTTCTGTCAGCAATACATCAATCTGTGCAGTATGGATATTGTGTTTCAGTAATCAACTGGCACAGAACATGCACTGTGCAGACATGGACTTGTGTGCCTGCAGGGAAACAGTTTACAATTTAATTATAAATAATAAGTCATAAGTGCTACAGGCCAGCATGTACATTTAATGTAAGCCTAAATGTAGAGGTCCGAGCCTCTCCATTTTCTATTTTCACCACGGCTGTGCCTGAATATACCAAGCCAAATATTTGATCGATGGAACATCTAAATGGCACTTTTTTGATGCAAAATAATAAATTTGAAAAATGTGAGCGATATTAAGGAGATGATGAAAAAACGTGCACCATGTTATTTTATCTGTATAATAGTTGCATGGTTTTATTGTTTGTCAAATACCATTCATTTCATTTCATTTATTATTTCTCAGATAAGAACACATACATACCGGTAGGCCTATATCATTGTCACCATTTATGTTTAATTGATCGAAGCATTCTATTAATTTTAGTTATTGTTGTAGTAAATAATCTGTTGCATTTGCATTATATTAATTTGTGACAAATGGAAATAAAACAATACAATACAATACAATATATACACAATTTAATACAATACAGACATTATGGGTAACAGGAGAGGGTTAAGATTAAAGAAATTTAAAGAAAAATGAAAAAGTATTGATAACACCCCTGAAGGATTGCCAAAAGCAAACTAAATCACTATCTGGTGTCTCTCCAACATGGTATCAAGCAGAAAGAAAAACAGTTAGCATGCAGGCATAAAATACCCAGTCCCATCAAATATATTGCCGTTAGCAAAAAAAAATGTAAAAAAAAAGATAAAAGATAAAAAAAATGGACATTGGGATAGAATAGAGTAATGTCCGGTTAAGTTGTGAATATTTTAATGTCAGAACAGAAAAAGAATCCCGAAATTCAGCGTTTTGTCAAAGTACATTTTTTATCAAGTACAAAGAAAAACAGTTAACATGCATGCATAAAATACCAAGTCCTATTGAATATATTGCTGTTAGCAAATATTTTTTTTAAAACATATAAAAGATGAAAGATGGACAATAGCAAAGAATAGGATACCATCCAATTAAGTTGTAAATATTGTAATGTCAGAACAGAAAAAGAATCCCGAAATTCAGCATTTTGTCAAAAGCCATGACAACACGTTCCATTAGCCTGTACATTTGCACGCATTTTATCAAGACAGTCATTTAGTTTCTTTTAGCATAAGCAGTCATGCTTTTGGGGTTTTGACAGCAATGTCAAACTTTTATTTGTTTCAATCAAGCAAACAAAAAACAAATAAACAGGATATGGCAAGCCTAGTAATGCTGGTCCCAGAGTGCACACAATTGTAAGAAATTGATTAGAATGACTATTCACTGAAAGTCTTTTCATGCATTTTGTTTCCGCAATGGGCCGGATTTAGCCCATTCATTGGCCTTAAGGAGTAAGCCAATACGATAGCACTGCCAGGCTCACAAGCGACAGCCAGTCAGTCAGTGAGTAAATTGGTCACTCTGTCGGTGAGTCCATCACGTACACAGAAGACATTAGGCTGGCCCTCTTGGACCAGCAATAAGCAGAGTTACAGCTACATTCTCAAGCAAGTAGTGCACTGAAAGTGCAAATGTACAGTTCAGCAAAAGCAAATGTGAAGTACAGCTTTACAAATATACAACTTTTACAAAAATAAGGAAGGCTGAAGCAAAACAAAGCTGAAGCACTTGTACGTGTGTAGTCGTACATGTACAAGCATGATGTAAGCAAGCATGAAATGAACTGCTACAGATGACAAGGTGTAAGATTGAAACATGTTTTATTTTATACATCACCTTTTTCGTCCTTCCTCCTGAGTAACCAACTTGCTGTGTATTGGAAAGGACATCACATCGGGTCAAGACTCAAACATTTCCAAGCAAACTTACAAACTTTCCTGTAATTGTTCTTCTCTCCAAAATCTAACCTACTAAAATCTCTAATTCAACTTCAGACAGTGTTTGGTACATGTAAGTTACAACCCTGAAACTCAATCAGGTTTTCTCTATGCGTCCTGCTATAAAACTGCAACAGAATGCAACAGAATGCAACACAGCTGTAATGAAAATCCTGCTCAATGCAACAAGATGCAGGATTAACTGTTGTATGCACTTTGCAATTAATGTACCCCTGCTAAATTGCAACAACGTGCATTTAAGCAGCATGATACCCGACTGCCAAATGCAACATAATGCAACACAGCTGAAATGAAAACCCTGCTCAATGCAACGAGATGCAACAGTGGATTAACTGTTGTATCACTCAGCCTTGGCACTATGCAGAACTTTACCCCTGCTAAATTGCAACAAGGTGCATTAAGCAGCATGAGACCTTGCTACTAAATGCAACAGCATGCAACACAGCTGTAATGAAAACCCTGCTCAATTATGCAACGAGCATGACAAGATGCAACAGTGGATTAACTGTTGTATCAGTCTTGGCACTTTGCAGAACTTTACCCCTGCTAAATTGCAACAAGGTGCATTTAAGCAGCATGAGACCTTGCTACTAAATGCAACAGCATGCAACACAGCTGTAATGAAAACCCTGCTCAATTATGCAACGAGCACGAGATGCAACAGTGGATTAACTGTTGTATCAGTCTTGGCACTTTGCAGAACTTTACCCAGGCGCTAAATTGCAACAAAGTGCATTAAGCAGCATGAGACCTGACTGCTAAATGCAACAGTATCACAAGTTTTTATCACGGTTGCTTTCTGTTGCATTTAGCAGGGTTAGGATTTTTTATGGTGTATCTTTCTACCCAGAGCGACCCTGATGGACTTCCTGCACATGTACCCCTTGAACAGCTACAAAGGGAGAGTTGGGGGAGACCACTGGGAGGGACGTACCGTTATGAATGCACTACTGACGGCGCCTGACCGTCGCGCGGAGACGTTCTTTGAGGTTGTACACATTCAGAACAAAATTACTAGTACAGTATACATGTACTTCGCGCGATAAGCATGCGAACCGGTGTGTACACCTACAGGATTCCTTATGGGTTAGAAAACACAATTAGAACAATAGACCCCACAAGGAAGTCTTCAGAAATCTATCTGCCCCATAAAGGAAACGCTACATGGAGTTTGAGATTTCAATGGAGTACAAAAGAAGGGAAACAAAGGTATTCCCATACGTACATGTAAGGCTATGTGTCAACACAGTATGTTCTCTACTAGGCTTGCAAAAGTTGTCATAAAGCGCGATCTACTTTCGTGCACAGAGTCCATACCATGTTTAAAGCCTAAAGTATCGGTAACAAAGCCCTGTTTAGCCTCACACAAATATTCCGATTGGCCAAATCTAAATTGGCCAAAACTAAAATTGGTGAAATATCAAAGTGCACGCGCATGTACCCTTAAGCGTAAATTCTATACATCATACCTGCAGCCCAATTTGCTCTCGATCATTTTCATTTATTGTCACAATCTGTTTTCATATATGCCATAAACATGACAATGAGAATGACACGCATTGTATTAGTACTCTCAATGCCCATTGTGAACAAGTCAGGATGTTAACAACAGACAATTAATTGCAGTACTTGTATATGATGTAGACATGGTAGATGTACTATAGTGCTGCATTATTACTATGTCTGGTAACTTGTCACAAATGTGTTCCCCCTGCTCATAAATATATTCCTTTGCTAAACTGCTCTTTTTCTAGCAACACAAACATTATTCACATTTGAATGAGACATCGACCAAAAAAAATCCACCCACGCTATTACTTTACAAATTTCAAATTACCCTCCAGTACATGCTACATTTTTGCGGCCCAACAATAATTCCATTCTCAGAGGATGGACTGGTTCCTGCCCCACAATCAGTATCGATAGTACTGTATATGGACCGGGAACAAATTTGCTCATAAGGCGGCACTTTTTGTGGCCACAATAAAAAAAAAAATTCAGGACTGTGCAAACATACAAGGTCAAAATTTATTGAATTTGTTGAAGAGTATGGGTGATGCAAATTTAAACTATAGGACCTACATGTACTTGCATGTACATGTATGTCTCTGTAGAAAACCTTCGTTCCTGTGATATACACACCAATGAATGTGCACCACTTTATTACTACAGGGAATCAATATCCACTCCCAGATTTGTGCAAAAAATTGTGAAACACTAGATGTAACACATTGATGCGACGACTACATGTCACAGGCACAAAAAGTGTGTATGGCAACTCCTCCCCCCTAAAAAAAAGAAAACATTGTAACAACCTGCATATGAGAGAGATTCAAAGGTCTGCAAAAAGTGTACATTTTGCGATGGTCGTGTTTTGCAGCTTTGCATATGCACAGCTTTTTTGTGAAGATAACAATGGTTGGACAAAAAGCCATCCAACTAAAACTTCAGAATGGCCAGACAACTGGTTAGTGATATTACATGTACACTGTAGGAACATGTGTATACATGTACATGTACATACGTGTACATACATGTACAATGTATGTAGTTCCTAAAATGAAAAAAAAAATAAGCACTGTTTCAATGACACGATTTCTTGAGCATCTGTGGTTAACTGCATACATGTATGTTTACCTTGTAGTTGTACCCACATGTAACCATGTACTTTACTGAATTTATAATGTATACCATGTCCACCTGTTGAATGAGACATTAGGCCAAGCAGAAATACCTAGGTTTCGGGTTATCCCCCCAAACTTAAAACTTATAACCTAAATCTTTCAATTACAAAAAGTCAACAACAACAAAATGAACTTATGGTGCCACCCCCACCCTTGTTTTTGTGGCCATCAACCTGATTTTTTTTTAATACATTGTAGTTACTTGATGCAGCGAAGCTTAACAGTGTAGAAAACAAAGACTGAATAGTTGATTCACATGTGAACTGTTACGAATGCAAGCACTCTATTTTTTCTGGATATAAACAATTGGAGCAAAAAAAACACACAAAAACAAGAAACAAGAGAACAAAAAGATTAAACCAACCCACCCAATTTTTTTTAATGTGATAGGAAAAAATAGCTGGGTTTTTTTCTTGGACTAAATGAACAGTGGGCAAAATGTGTTGGATTTCATTGCATTGAAATCTTTTTTCTCTTTGAACGCCAGCTGGGATTTTGTAGGGTACAGGAGCCATAGCAATTTTATTAAGGGGTTAACATTGTGATGGAGCAGGTATAAACGTGTGGTTTAAAACCAGTTAGGGTCTGGCAGCTGATAACCGTTGCTGAGCCGAAGGCAAGGGCTATTATCGGTGACCAGGCCCCTAACCGGTTTAACACATCACATTAATAGCTGCTCTATCACATTATTAAATAACCCTATATTCATAAATAGCTTTTTGGTTAAAACCATAATAAGTCGAAAAATTGACAAACTGATGTGTTTTGTTCTTTCATTTTACTCCATGTCTTGGTGCTCGCGACCGGTTTTAAATATCACTGACCAGTGTTTTATCAGCAGTTTGAAACCACCAATGTGATGAGCTCTCGACCAACAGGAATGGGTAAACTGTCCCAGGTGTTTATGAATAATTAAAAACAATTCTGGAAAAACATGGCTTTTTGTTAGGCTGATTAGGTTGGATGCCATGAACGATGTAATGGCGGGATGGAAGACTTCACAGCAGGTTTATGGGCAGTGACTGCGATTAAAAATTTTAAAATGTACTGGATCCCCCTGCAACTTACCACTGCTGTTTATTCCCTCGATAATGCTATAGCCCTGGACTGACGGGTCTACAAACGGTCATAAAACAACCAAGAAAACTATGGATGGCAGCCTAACAAAATCCAAACACTGCTTGCGACCACAGCACAAAATTACGGGATATTTTAACCATACACACTTGTAGGTGTACACAATGAAAATAGCCAGCAAAAGGAGCAAAGTTACGTATAGATCAATTTCAAAGATTTTACTATCAATGGGCACAAATAGCCTAACAGTGGTGTGCATTTATGGATAATAAAGGAATGGGGTACCCTATTGAAGTAAAACACGGGTGCCCGGGTACCCGTACAAGAAACCAAACCCCAAAATTCAAATCCCGGAAGTTGTCTAAAAAGATTTATAGCTTCAACGGTGTAAACTGTAACTTTTGCCATAGTGTCATATTTCGCGATTTGAAAAAGCATATAAATGTGAAATCTGTTTTGGTTTTCCATATATACTGCTCTTCATTTTGAAAATCCCCACAAATGTCATCAAGGACCTTTCTTTTTCATCGTCTGATAAGTTACTAAGTAATTTGTAAAGTTGGTTACGAGTACCAAATTCCAAAATCTGGAACCGGTTCCTGACATCAGGAAATTGAATAGTTTGAGTGGGCAAATCGCACAAACATATTTCTGCATGATCAAGTTTACTTCATTGTTATTTTAACTGGGTAGCCCATTCAGTGGAATCCACTGGTCTCCCATGGGACCCAGACAAGAGAAGACAAGGTGAAGAAATGACAGGATCACATGTGGGACGAAAACCCCTGGAGAATAATATTCTGAGGAAAACCCACGGAATCAACTATGGACCGAAAACCCAATCCACATATTTGCCCAGACAGGAATCGAACCCAGGTCACAGCGGTGCAAGGCGAGGAAAGTAACGCTACCGCAACCCGATTCCTCAAGTGATACACAAATCCATCGATCGCACCCAACACATAAATGAACACAATCCTACACTAACATTTTTAAGTAAATTTATGTACCTGAAGGACGCCCCATCGTGACAGTTGGGTATCTCCACTTGGTCTACACCATCCACTAAAGATCAGCTGAAGCTTCTCTGTCAAAAAGTCGTATCCACAGATGCACTGAACACCAAGCATCCACTTCCAGTTGATATCCACTGAATTACAGGTTGTCATCCACACAAAACATGGATTCTGCATTGGAGAATGAATAAGATGTATGCAAAGAATGTCGATTGATAAGTGGATGGGATTACCTTGAATCGCACACTATACGTATTACATGTTAATTAGGATTGCATTCACAGAGACACATCTGTGGAATATAATGCAGGCGGCCTGCACGTAGTCCTTACTAATGATGGAGTGTCAGTGACGAAACTCGTATGTTCACGTGCATGCAGGTATCCAGAATCAACAGTTTTTTCCTTTTTGCCTGAACACGAGCTGTGTGCACAGAGCACAAGTGCCACAAATGCAGCAGGGCAAGGCATGCCTAGTAAAGCTTGTCTCAGAGCCCACAAAATTGATTCTGAATGAAATTAGGTTTTGCCCTTCACCGACGTATAAACACTGTACAATACTCAGTGTGTTACCTCCCGAGTGAAAGTTGGAAAAAATCACTCGGGTGGGACTCGAACCCACGACCTCCTGCTTCCTAGTGCAGATGTCTTACCGCTCGACCACCGAGCTAACCCATCTTATTAATTGATTCTGAATGGCTAGGCTATTCTCTGGAATTCTTTTCATGCATTAGTGTACACAATGTGCCAAATTGACAAAATGTAGCCCATTCACTAGTTTTTCAAAGGGTAATCCTATACAATAGCACTGCCCGGCTCACAACTGTGAATTAGTCAGTCAGTCAGTCAGTCAATGAATGAGGTACATGTACACAGAGGATCCTCTCTTGTACTCGCCAAAATGCAAAATATCACTGACACTGTAGACAGTGTAGGGTATGCAACAATTGTCTTAATGCTAATGATATACAATGTACATAAACGCCGCTATAAAATTATCGAACATCGGGGGATCCACAGAAATTGTTCCCTTGAGCATTGGGGGAAATATCACAGTGCACGTAACTCCTTACATGAACCTAATTAATTATAGATTTGTAATGGATACAAAAATAATCACCTGTTGTGTGTATGTACGATGGCTTACCAATTCAACATTGATGCTGACACTGGCAGACAGGCAGTGACTACATGTACAGTCGAGTCTCGTTAATACAAACTCGTTCGGACCTAGCCAAATTGTTTGTCATATCAAAATTTTGTAATTAGAGGAACATCAGTCCCATTCATTGTGCACATAAATGCACAGTCGGGACTAAGGCTTTATGTTTGTTATAGGCCTAACCAGCATTTTGTATTAACAGAGTTTGTACTAACGAGATTCGACTGTATATCCATTGGATTATCATTGTTCCCGGTACATGCACTTGTACCATACGATATGCTCCACCAACTTGCATCAAAAGCACAGAATAGGCCTACAGGTGCATTGTACTGTGTGACCCAACTCTACATGTTTTTTTTTTCTTCATTCTTTAGTGTACATGTACATTTGTACACGTACATGTACTTTAGTGTACATGTACATGTACACGTACTGTACATGCACGGTTGAGGTTGGGAGAACAAACAAACTACATGTAGGCTACCGGTAGGTATCTACATGTAGGTTAGTTGTTCTCCTTTCGCGCTGGGATAATTTTAAAATTGACCGGACCCAGGACGGGATTGTTTTTCATGAACCTCGATGCCAGACGGGTTCAGGCCGACATCTGCAGGTAGCACACCCTGATATTTCTGGCCTCTCTTGCTGTAAGCGGGTCGCAGGCAGATATTTCCGGCCTCGCTCGTTGCATGTTATATACGTCATCCGTTCCGGAATACCGCTAAACATTTGAGTGTATACACATCAGCCGACATGAACTGGTTAAAATACATATATTCACAGATCTTAACTTAATAAAAATCCAAACCAAATGCCACTAAGCCCTTAAGTTTTTCTATATTGGGGCCATTCCCCCCCCCCCAAAAAAAACGAACCCATTTTTTTTTTTAATCGCAATAAAGGCAGGTACTGCGTAACCACTATCTTTTCCTCAAAAAAAATTGATTAAAGTGGGCAGAAAGTGCCTCAGATCGCACCACAGAGCAAACAATTTTCAGAACCCGGCCCCGAACCCCTTGCCGTAATTTTTTGGACCAAATTTTGGGGGGACCAAAATTATTTTGGCCCCCCCCCCCCCAATATAATTGTGTTCTGGATCCGCCATTGTGTATTCCTACAATCTACATACATGTACATCATGTACATGTACACGTACATGTAAAGGCATCCTTGTACCGGTACATATACTTTTAGATTGTTAGAAAATCCAACAATATCAAACGGCTCATACAAAAACGTAAAAATTATGGTCACTGCTCGGAGAGCTGATATGAAACTACTGAATGGATCAAGTTCAGTAGTGGTTAAGGTTGGTTAAGGGTGAAGTTACTGTTCAACATTTTGACATCATGGTTGGTTAAACTTATACCAAAAGAATTGAGTCATTTTTATGTAAGCTACTAGGCTGGCCTATGCTTTCCATGCAGCACAGTTTGTGTGGGCGACATCATACCATAGTGAGTCAGTGAGTACACAGATGAAAATCGTGCGTCCAGTGCATAATGTGGATGATTCCATACACTGTCCAAATAATGCCAAAGTTAAATTTCTCCATAATTTGTTCAAAGTTCACTTTAAATTATTTCTGCCCCATATTAAAGTCATTATAAAAGCTGAATGCATCTGTTAGAAGAATTGATCAATATGCTTATGGCTTAAGGCCCAGAAGGTCAAATAAAAAAAATAAATTTAGCATCCCCGCCCGCTTCCTTTTTAGAGGCAGCCTCCTTTTTTTTCTTTTTTTTCTTTTTGAAAACATGAACAAATGATAAATTTTAAACAGTGACATCATTATGGCCTCTCTTGTCTGTTGCATAGCCCATATAAAGCTGGTATGTCATTCCTGAGTGCAAGTGGCGGCCATTTAAAAAAAAAACACTGGTTGCCATCTTGAAAAATAGCCCGGTCAGGCGGCCATTTTGGAAGGAAAAAAAAAAGGACCTCCTCCTTCCCTTTTTCAAAAAGCAGGATGCTAAACATGTAAATTCAACTATGACATTTGAAAACATCAAAAAACAAAATGATCAAATTATCACGAAATATCTTACTGGATTGTTAGGGAATGACAGTCTAAAGTATCCTGTAAAATCGTGGCTCCTGGTGTGCTGACATTTTCAAGAAAACTTGTATTTTTCCAACGCTGGTCAGCCGACCAGCGTTCGAGGAAACTGGCTTTTTTTTAAAACTGCTCCTAATTTTTCACATTTTAGTTATTCCGCATTTTCTTTGCAATTAATTACACACCTGTACATGCCTGCTAGACTGTTTCTTTGACCATACAATTCCCCAAAGTCTATAAATTGATCTGTTTCATCTTAAGTTGGGCCAGGGAACCAGACCACAAGAACACGGTTGGTTTTCTTGGATTTCCCAGCATCTCCGAACCCAAAACGTGAAGCAAGTCAGTTTAACAATATTTGCTATAACATACTAATCCTCCAAATCCATTTAGTTCTGAAAATTGCAGCAAAAGCAAATGTTGTACATTCCCTTTAAAATGAATTGGGGGATACAGTAGCTTGTTGGACATCAGATTCGAATAAATAAATGCATTTGGTTTTGATGCTAATGCAAAATGCAAATTTCCATATTCATGACCAAACTGTGATGTCATTCAAGGCAGAAACTTCAGTTTCACATCTGCTTCAGCATAAAAAGTCACCAGAATTTTAGGGATTTGCTGTGGTTAGTTTTCTGCTTTCTGTGGTTCATTGTTGTTTTGGTATATGACAGTAAGACAATGCATAAATATGAGTCATATTTATGCATTTCAGAGGAATGGATGTTTGCTACACTGTACAAGCAAGCTCCAGTGTAAAATTCATTTTGTGGACCCTTTAAGTTCACCCTAACCAAAACAGTTTTTCAAAAATGCAGAGGATTTGGGTTTAAGCCCGTTCTATTTTTGAGTTTCACCCCAGAAATTTCTTTTAATAGACTTTGTTTTTTAAATTGCTACTTTGAAAGTATATCAACTAATGGACTAATTACTTTGCAAATGTATTTATTGAATTATTTGTGGCCTGACAATTATTCATGTGTACATGTATCTTTGTACATTACGGGCACAAAAGAAACCTGAAATAAAAGCATATTTTCAGAGGATGGTAAATGTCCAAAATAGACCAAAAAAAAGTTATTAATCAAGGGCAGATCCGGAACCAATGGGCTCAAATTTTTTTTTTTTTTTTTTTCAAAAATGGAAAGGGGATTACATGTTAGTAGTATGGGGCGCTATTTCTGCACTAATATTATGTGTAGCTAGCTGATGGCTTGTGAGGGAGGTACGCAACGTTTTAATTTGCTTCAAGGTACTAAGGTTAACAATACGATTTGGATGAAAAGTAAAATTTATCGACGAGGGCTTCGTTGCGAATACCACGCGGACATGCGCGGTATTCTCAACGGAGCTTTCACCGATAAACGGTAAATTTAACTTTTCATCCAGATCATATGTAAGCTAACCTTAGTACCTCGATCTTAATCATAGATCTCTACTTGTATCTTAGGTGGCGTATCTACTCTGTAGCCGTTTTGAGGGTGAAATCTGATTATTTAATTTTTTTGGCAAATGTTTAAGTCGTTAATTATTTGAAACACCATGTCTGACGTGACATTTACCATGGGCACATGATGGGCCCTAGCTAGGATGATCCTAGCGTTATGTTTATGGGCCCGTACTATCGCCAATATACATGTATGTCCAAATGTTAAAAAGCGACAGTTTGGGTCCAAGTTACTTGGGCTAAGTTCCTATCCTAGTATTTATAAGAGCAAAAATCCACTTTTAGGTTATTGGACTATTGTTGATAGATCGAGGACAGGGTGTTGATTATTTTTTTAGGGATATTTTGGGGTTAAAACGACAAGAAACTGACAAAACGCAACACTATCATTTACCGTTTCTACCAAAACATATGCTCAAAATACAAACAAATAGTGTGTTGACCTATTTTTGGAATGATAATATTAATAAACACACTGATTTGAGTACTCGACAAAACTAACAGTAACAATAACATGACTAAACACAATCATGACAATCATTAAATTTACAATTCGCCTAGTTTTTAGGACAATGTTGCATTATACGGGTGCCTACTTCCATGGATAAAGATCAAGGAACCCGGGAGGAATAACTTAAGAGTTTTGCGCGGCCGGCCAGTGACAGCACATGACAGTAGAAACATTCACAGGAGCTCATATACAAACAAACAATACAAACAACAATGCCGAACCATGTGAACCGCGGCGTGATCACATGTCCGTCAACTAACTGCTTCGACTTCGTCGATCCTCTTTTAAAAACGTTGTGTATTTTGCTTCATAAGGCTTACCAAAGGAAATCAGCTATCTGAAGGGAAGACGTCTTCACTCTCTCAATTAAGTCATCGTACATTCAAAAGCAACGAGGATAAATCAAAAGAGGAACTCCAAAAAATACTACCGGCGTATCCACCCACGGACTACACCCATACGAGCCGCCATTTTGAATAACTAACTTCATTAACATGCATATTCATGAGATATTTAAATGACAAGAGATCCAGGCTATTTTTAGCATTTGTTTTGTGTATGGTTGTCATAAGTGTTGTCACGGGTGGGGCGCGGTGACGTCAAGGGAACCAAAGTCCGATTCCGGGGCCGGGGATGGGCGATTGTGAAAGATTATCATTGATTTCTTGATTTTCTTGAATCCTTGAATCTTGTTGCTGTTTACAGCTGTGCAAATAAACAAATTGGTAGATCTATCATTCTAGCAGCGAGCCCCGAGTGTAAAAATCCATATTATGTATTCGGATGCAACATCACAACATTGTTTGATGACAGCGTTTTAATTAATTATTTTCATCAAAAGCTAACCCGAAGCAGCAGCATGTCTATCCTGTAAACTGTGGTTCAGCACAGAGGAAAATTTAACTTGATACATGTACACAAAACTCTTCTCTGAAACGCTTCGATACTTTAATAATGCCTTAAGTTTGGTATTAAATTTGCCGCTAGGATTTTCCCGCCCATAAATAAATGAACAATTGTAAATAGCCGAACATTCCTCCCTCAGGAATGAGAATGAATATCAAAGAAAAAAAAACAAGAAACTTTTGCAAAAACGAGAAAAAAAGTAAGTGAAATCAAGCAAAAAATAAACCCAGAACAGGCTCAAAATAATTAAAAGCGCAGAACTTTTGTGAAGTGACTATACATGCAACACATAAGGTATGAATCCCTCTATCTCAAAAAACTAGACATAAAATTTCTAGGAAATAAAGGTAAAATAATCTGATCGACCCCTCCCATCCCCCCCCCCAACCAACCAAAAAAAAAACACTTTCCAAAATGTTTCATTGAATTCCTCTGAACATTCCTAAGACCAAACACGAATGTGCTTATAAAAATATGAACTGAACTGAACTCTGAAAGATTAAGGTTCTAAAAGTCTTTTACAAAAAGTTCCCCCTCCAATTTACTTCCCACAAAAAAAATCCCTCCATTTAACGGAAGCCGGGTTAGGGAAAAAGTTATTTCTGTAAGCACTGGTAAATTGTCACTTGAATGAAACAACACAAAGCACAGCTCAGCAGAATTAGTTTCTCTTGTTTTTAATTAAAAACCAAAAGCACCAACGTATTTACAAGGCATTACTTTAATATCAATTTAATTTGGAGAGATTTCTGGAATTTGTCAATTGCTGGACGGAAATGATACGAAAGTTAGAATACAAGCAATCGTCTTTGTGGTTCAAATAGTTTTTACATGGCAGATGTGAAATTTACAAAAATAATCTGCACCCAAACGAATTCTTTGGAACATTTCTAAGACCAAAAACAAATGAGTTAATAAAAACAAACTTAATCTTGAAATCCCTTTTAAAAATGCAGGTCGACTTTGGTAATATAAGATACATCCTGCACTATTTACAAACTTTTATTTACACAAATAAGATCAACCGATACGCAAAGTATTTACAGAACAACGAACAATCCCACTTTCTTTAGAATATTTAAACTCATCAGGGACGGAATGACTATTGGAATTGTTTTGATTCTCTTCAGATTTGTTTACATCTCATGCAGATGATGATCACTTTTATATATTTTTGCTGAATGACAACTGGAAAAAAATCAACAGCTCATGAAATTTTACCATAATGACCCGAACTGCTCAAGTAATCTTTGGTTTTATGGCTACATCAGGGAATAAATACAATGTAATACAACAAAAACAAGCATTAATGAGTTCAAACCTCGTAGTTTAGCTCATTTGCTACTTGCACTTTGAGAAAACATAGGAAGCATGTAATAACTATAAAGTGGGCCTGTGGGCACATTTTTTTAAAACCTGATTTTCTTTCAATCAAAACCATTTCTGAGGGGATAATTTCATAGAGCATTTGGTGCCAGCCCTATCATTATTCTGAGCAAGGTTTTCTCATAAAATCAGTAGGTACTTTACTGGGTAATGTTCCTATGTGCCTTTAATTATGGTCAAGAATGTACAACACTCCATGAGAAGCTTATGAAGGTTGTACTCAACTTGTTGGCAACTGTACTCTCATTTTTAAATCATATCACCCTACTTAAAAAATAGTAATTGCGTACATCACATTTGGAAGAAACCGAAAATCAAAGGCAATGCACCATGTACAACTATTATTATAAAAAAATAAGCTACCTAGCTGTGGACGGATTGTCAGTTGAGGAACCATAACACCCAAACAGCGCCCTCTTGTGATTTATTTTGACAATGTCTAATGCTGACGTACAAGTGCAAATCGGGATGTACACACACTGAGAAAGTTGTTGGAAGTCACAACAGGGAGTCAACAATGTCATTCTTAAAACAAACTCTTGATGGAAAACTGCAAGGCAATATTGTGTTTTTTCCCCATAGAAGCCATCAAGTTGGAAGTATAGTCTGTCCAATGAGATGTGAGCAAAGTGGTTACAAACAAATAAAACAAACATATGTTACTACGCTTTGCACTTTTGTATAATACCAGGGCGCATTCAAGTTAATCTCCCAGTGCAATTTTTGAGTTACACCCCGAAAAGTAGATTTTGATTTTAAATCGCAATTTTCTAGCAATACAAAAGTTATTCACTTTTAAATAAGACATCGAGCAAACTATTTTTTTCAAATTATTTGCAGCCCGATAATAACTGGTGTGTATTTTGTGTGTGTTATGGGTGCAAAAGCAATTAAAAAGACTGTTTTCAGAGGGTTGAAAAGTTCAAAACAGAAAAACAAGTAGTTTTTCCGTTTTTATTAACACATGGAATTTTTTTTTAGGAGAAACAAATTATTATGCTGAAGAGCACGGGTCGAGCACTTTTAATTGAGCAAAGAGGACGGATCTTTACAAAAATGTAACTTTTAAAAAGTGTGACCAAACCCTACAAAATGCGTCTGAAGTCCCCAGAGCTATGGATATCAAGCCCTCACAGTTACACAATAAAACTGCTTTACTGTCAACATATTCTCCCACATAATGTCCACAAAACTGCCCAGGAATTCTTCTGGAAAGAAATACAATGAAATACAATGTACATGCAACACAGATTCTAATGGGTTGAGACCTATTTTGAAGGATTTGGTCACATTTGTCGAATTTTTAATGATCATCAATGGAACGGATTTTTAAAAATGTGGATGTTTCTAATACAAATCCCTGGTGTACATAAATAAACAGGACGGATCCGAATTGTGTACAATTTCTTTTTTTTAAATTCACATGAGGTCTTCATACGGCACTCCGCTAGCCCTCTTGGCCATGTGGGCCCGCCTCATGGGATGCATCTTGTCGATGACGGGGCGGGCCAGGGCTTCCTTCAGCTTGGCTTGGTACTCCGCCTCTGCCTCCAGCCCCTTGAGGTACTCCCTGTGCTCCTCGTCTTTGTCCATCTCGTGCTGCCGGCGGGTGTAGTCCAGCTGGCCCAGCAGGTCGTCCTGGTAGGCTAGGTTCTCCCGTCGGATGCCAGCCAGCTTCTCTTCCTCGAGGCGCTTGTGCTCGTCCATGGCTGCCTGCATCAGCTCCCGTTCCTTCTGCAGCTCAATCTGGGCCTTGGCGTTTTCTGCCACTGCAAGTTTCAAACAAATTAATAAACATGATTTCAAATTAAACCGCAAAGTCCAACTGAATAGGTGCATTTATATACAGTTGAACACAGTAATTGACTGGAGTGGGGTTTGAACCTGGAACCTCCGGATTACCATTCCGGTGCTGTACAAACTGAGCTATCCAGCCCCATGTTGGAAATCCAACACCATTCGTGTGCTGACTTTTTTCAAATTTTCAAAAACTGACTTTTTTTTCACATACTGCCCCCATTTTACCAAATTTAGTTAGTTCACATTTTGTTTGCAGTCAGTTACACATCCGTGAACGGATGCAAGCCAGGTTTGGTGAGCTGACAATTTCCTGATGTCTATAAATTGCCCTGTTTTATCTGAAGTAGGGTCAGGGAATTACCAGACAACAAGAACAGTATTTTTTTCTTGTTTTTTTTTCAGCATCTACGAACACAAACCTTTCAACAGGTCAGTGTATAACAATTACTTTGCTATGAAATACTGACCCCTAAATCCATCCATTTCTAAAAATGCAGCAAAAGCAAATGTTGTACATGTATATTCCCTTTCAAGCAAAGTTTGCTTCACACTTGAAAATTCAGCTGGGTGCTGATGCAGATCCATTCTGACTTTGGTTGGCAGTATCACCTTTCATAGCTTTTGTCTTAGTTTGCATTTGGCCATTTTTGTACCCATGCTGTACATTGATAAAAGCAACAATTTTGTAGAGTGATGAAAGTTTCAATCCAAGAATCCTTTGGGTCACTGCCAGGCATATATTTCCAACTGAGGTTCTTACATTTTGCTTCCACCTGCTGGCGACGTACAGCCAGCACGTTATCCATGAGCCGCTTTCGAGCCTCTCTCTGTCGGGCCCATTCGTCTAGCCTCTTCTGCCACTGTCTCTGCACCTCTGCGTCCACCAGCTTGTCAATCTCACGGTCGCGCTCCTCGTCCTCGCGCGCTGTCTGCCTGAGGTATTCGCGGTAACGCTGGTCCTCCTCACGAAGCTCTTTCTGCAATAAAGACACCACATTAATATCTCCTCAATCATCCAGGCAGCTAACCCTAGCCCCACCCTATTGTGTTTCTACCAATCGATCACAACCTTTAGTCATGTCCAACGTGCAAGCAAAAGATTTATGAGCTCCGTGCACTTGCATATGAAGCGCGTGTCTGGAGCATGCAGTCTTGCACTGGAGAGGTGCACATGTTGTTGCTAATGAGCGCAATTGGCGGGGCTTAATCCTTGTCATTTTTACATGCCGATGCACTCCAGCAGAAGTGAATTGGAAGATGCTCTTTGACTCGCCAGCCAAGTGACTTTAGGGCTCCAACTGGCGTGTGTTGAAAGACTTGTCTGCTGCACAGCAAAGGTGCTAGTTTGGAGGAATTACATGTACGAGGCCCAATTATACAGACTTTGTTTGGTCTCATTGTTTATTGCTGACTAAAGGATTTCCTCACAGCATGGCCAAGCTATCTTTCAATACCCTTTGGAAGTTCTTACAGTGTGCTGTGGTTCACCCCCATAGTACAGCGGCAGATATTGGAGGGCTTTGTAAAATAAAACATGGGCGAGTCACTTTTTCAAATACTGAAGCAAATTGGAGGATCAGGTAGAGCAAGGATTATTAATGGATCGGATTTTAGGTGCTTGAACAGTACATGTAGGCTCTGTAAGAGCAACACATACTGTCTCACATCGCATGACCCATTTTATTTTGAATCTGATCAAACCATCCACTCCATATGAGCACCAGACATACAACTAGACCATCGATCCCAACTTAAGCTGGTGATGTTCCAAACTTAAGTTGGGCTGATCCCAACTTAAGTTGAGACCGTCCCAGAGAAAATGTTGCAGTTGGGACGGCCCAACTATAGTTGGGATGCTACTTCTTGATCTCGTGTGGCACATTAGAGGGCGCGCATTTATGAACGCACATGCTGCAAAGTGCCAGAGAAACTTAACTTGTATTCAGGTGCTTATTTTGTATTATTTTACAACATGGATGAAATGGCAAATAGACATTTTTTTGGCCATGAAAATTATGCCTAGTCCAATTGTCCAAATAGGCTAAAAAATTAGCACATACATGTGTGTGAATGTCTGTAATAGCAAACTGAATTTCACAATCGGCCGTTGCATTTCTGAGACGATAAGGGGGGACCCCCACCCTCTCCTCCCTCCCCCTCTCAAAAAACTTGACTCTTTTGGGGTTGAACCAACCTTCCTCTGTGCAATCTCCATGGCCTCGTTCCGTGAGTCGCTCAGCAACTTCTCTAAGATGTTCATGTCCAGGGCCAGTTCCTCTTGCATCTCTTTGGCCCTGCGTTTGGTCTTGAGGCGGATGTTGGTGGCAATGTCTTCCCGGGCCTGCTGCTGCTTGGCCAGTTTCTCCTGCTGCGCCCGCTGCTCCTCCATCTTACGTAGTTCACGTTCCTCCGCCTGCAAGGCAAAGAACAAATCAACAGTTATCATTTAAGCTGACTTCCTTTCCTATCTTGCTACCGTGCTATTTTCAAAATTTCATCCTGAAAAACAGATTCTTTTCTAAATTGCTACTTTTCTAACAATACAAAAGTGTTCACTTTTGAACCAGACATTGACCCCAAAAAAAAAAAAAAAAAGGCCCATGTTCAGTTATTGAATTATTACTGTCCAGACAATTACTGCAATTCTCAGTTGGTAGTTTGGTTAACCAGACTACCAAGTGAGAACTGCAATAATGATTTTCTACTTCAGTAAGCAGAGTTTTCATACTAACTGTTAAGCAGTGCTATGAAATGGGCCCTGGCTGATGATAAGTAAGTAACCAACATACCAGCAGTCTGCCTTCTTCCTCCTTGAGTCTCTTAGCGTCTTGCTTCTTAGCCTCCAGGGCTGCCTTCTGTTTCTGTAAGGTCTTCAGCGTCTCTTGGTTCCTGGCGTGCCGTTCCTGAGCCTCTCGTTCCTCCCTGGCCGCCTTGGCCAGCATGTCCTGATGCCAGAGGTCGGCGTACATCTTTTCCTCGGCCTGGCTCTGTTGATCCATGTCGGCTTTGATGCGCAGCTGTTCCCCGCGCTCTAGGCAGACCTCGTCCATGTGGCGGCGGGTCAGGGTGGACCGCAGCTCTTCACATTCCTCTCTAAAATGTTTAGAAACAAATTCATTAAATTGACAGAGACAGGAAAATGTATTCGTTTGTAATCAATATAAAGCCCGGTTCATACTCAGCGCGAAAGCGAAAGCGAACGCGAATTTGTGATGTCAAGGGGAGTATTCGCGATGCGAATTCGTAAAAGTTGCACACATTTCAACTCGGGCGAATTTCGCAGCGAATGTTTCATGACGTCAAATTCGCTTCGCATTCGCTTTCGCATGAAGTATGAACCGGGCTTTAGGCTGAATGAAGACACTGATTTGAACAGAATGTGCAGCTATAACATGTGGAATATCGAAGGTAGGCTCTAATGGTTGAGTTGATGATTTGCATTTAAAAAACTGTGCCATTCTCTGGGTTTGAAACATGCTTATGTTGGTAGCATTGTGATTTTTGATGTGATCCCTGGTTACATTGCACATGAAGACTTATGGCTTACTACCAACATACAGCTGGATGGCTCAGTTGGTAGAACACTATTACAGAATACCAGAGGTCGCAGGTTCAATTCCCTCTCAGGCCAATTTCTTCTTCGATCTTACATTACAGAACTTATTTTAAAATAATATTAGAAACTGACCAGGTGCAATAAATATGAAAAAGGCGAACAATATTATGAAGAATTGAAACTAGCACTGATTTTCCACCTACTAGGCTATCCAGCCTTTGGTAAGTGCTTTCCTAATTTTGTCATTTTGCCAATTGCAGAGATGCAGTGCTGTATAAATTTGACATCATAGATTCCATACTCGGAAGTGGTTCAAGATATTTTGGAGTCAGGTGCCAAGAGGACGCCAGGCTTCCCCTCTTAGACCAAAAAATGCAGTGAACATCTTTCATACAATAATATAAAATATTGTGCTTATAAAGCAGTTTACACCAGAGGTCTCAAAGCACTTCACAATTATATTTTCCTGCAGCAGCTCGAGATCAGCCAAGCTGAGTCTCCACCCTCACAGGTACCGATATATAATCCTGGGCATGCTGGGTGGAGAGAGCAATTGTAGTAAAGGGTCTTGCCCAAGAACACAAGCATCATGTACCCTGTCAGGGTTCGAACTCACGTACCACCGCACATGAGTTGAACACCCTAACCACTGGACCACGGCATTCCACGCAGAGTAAACCAGGGCTTTTGGCCTTACCTCCATCTCTGGTCTAGTTTCTCAGCGACCACCTGCAGTCGTTCTTTCTCTCGTTTTTCCTTGAGGAACTTGGCCCTCTCCCGCATCTTGGCTTGCCTCTCCAGCATGGTCTCCTGGCTGGCCTCCATCTCCTCCAGGTATTGAGCATCCTCTGCTGCCAGCAGCTGTCTTAGTCTGAAAGGCATTTTGAGGTTTGGCAAATTATTGGAAATGTTTGATTGGACGGGAGGGGGGGGGGGGGGGTTCCACTGTATGTATTGCAAAATGGATCTCCATTCTCCCACCATATACAATGTATTTTAGTGAAACCTTTACTTTTCTCAGGAATATTTCAAGATTTACTTCGGTTTAAAAATATTATTGGACGTCAAAATTGGGGGTAGGTTACCCCGATAAACCTAGTAACGAGGAATTATACACTATAATATATTTGAAAACGTGCATTGTAGAAAATCAGTATGGGCTCTGTACGCCAAACATACGAGGGTGCCTTTTTACCACTTTTAGAGCCCCCTGCAGGGGCCACACATGTCTTCCTAAATATGCCAAAGCTATGGCCACAGTGTCTTTGCGTGAACGTCAGGCATTGTCGGCGCGCAAATGCATTCAAATTTATCTTGGGATGATCTCCCAGACTAATCCCCGCCCCCAATAACTTTGGATCCTTCGAAATAAGCAGTGGATGGACCAGGAACCAGTGATCTATAGGTCTCCCCAATTCTCCTTTTCTGGCCGTTGAAGGGGTACTTGTGCACCGAGCCCATAGTCGACCAACACATAGTGTACATAAGTATATGTAGGCCTACATGTATGTGTTGTAGCTCAATGTTTAAACAAAGACATGCGAATAATAAAGAAACCCAATTCAAGAAATTTACCATTTTTCAGCAAAATGTCAAATCTGTATATCTCTCAAATCCAGCAATGGACCGATCCAGTAAGCACCGCCCCATGGTGTTTTGACTAATCACAGCCGTGATTTATGTCCGACGTGCATGCATAAAAGTCTGACATGCGTGCCCGCGCGTATGATACGCGCGGCAGGAAAATGCAGTGTGGCATTTGAGAGGAGCACGTGTTCATTTGCCCAGTGCGCAGTGGGCGGGGCTTACTGGATCGGTCCATTAATCCACAGATCCACTGTTTGTTTTTACCGCCCACCTTTCTCTGCGATCCTCCAGTGTAAATTCTTGCTCCAGCATCAGCCCTTTGACCTTCCTGCTGACAGTGTTCAGCTGGATGCGGCGGTCTGTGATGCGTTCCCAGTCATTTTTCAGGTCGCACAGGGCGTTGTACTTGGTGACGGCCTCGGCCTCCTCCCGAGCATCATCATGACGTCGCCTCTCCAAGATCAGATGGTCTGGGGGCAGCTTGCTGGGCATTTTGGCCCTCTGTTATTAAAGTTGAAATTTGTATTAATAAAAAAGAGGAAAACTGACAATGAATGGAAATAAATCCAGAACAAAACACAACTAAACAAACAAACAAAAAAATAAAACCTCTTTTTATTATAATCTCTCAACCAATAGTACTAGTATAGCGTCTGCGTGCAGCCATACAGTATGGGCGAAACAATGTACAAGACACAGCCGTCGCATCGCAACTCCCGCGCCTGAGCGACAAGATCGATTTGCATATTTTAAGTGCGACGACACAACTTTGGGGTCATCGCTTCTTACATTCAAAATGGCTGCCATCAACAGACAATTTGCGTGCGCATATGGCCTCCAGAAAGATTCGAAAATTTCTCAGAAAATTGGATATTACACCTAAGCATCCCAGAATTGAACAGCTGAGACATTATACAACCATATATGTAAGAAACTTTGCGTAATTTTTTGAGAAACTCCTCAGTAGTGGGACGAGAACCTGGCGTGTGGAAGAGATACAACGCAGCAATATCGCAACCACACTAGTAAATAGTTAGTAGGGCTATACATTTGTAGGATACTTTCATGACTTTATAAGTTTATAAAGATTGATTTATTATAGTAAAAATAGTCCATCGTGTCTATGGCAATTTCACTTTCAGTAAAATAAAATGAGAAGATTGCAAGTTTGGCATCAAAGAAAATGAAAAAAAAATTAAATCAAAGCCTAAACGTGAATGATAAATTGAAAATAAATAACTGCCATGACTTGTTACGTTTAAATTTAAGTTTTGTTAGTGTTTGAAAAGAGCATCCAATTTAATTTTAAAAAGATTGAATGATCATTGATGAAATAAACTCACAATTGCCACCGAGTGTGGAGTTGGGCCAGCATACTCCCTCGTTCTGCGGGGTTTTTGTGTTGCTAACATGATGTCTCTTCCTACTTGCACGCTTCCAGATGCGTCGATGCAGAACAGTAGCCCGAGAAAATTTCGCCACACACGGCTACGCTGCGCTACAGGATCGGCAGATCGGCAACTCGGTGCCGCGCACGGAACGAGTAACGTCAGCTCAGGTTAAAATTTTAGGTTCCAGAAATTATCCGAATAACAGCCAGTTTTCGGGTTGAAATAGAGCTAATAAATATCACCGACTTTTCATTTTCAATCAAATACCTATAGTTGTTGAATATAAAAATTATTACTGACGAAAAAACATGAGCAAACCTACAATTAAAAAGTACGAACTTTCGCCAAATGGCACCCACAGAGCTCAGCGCTGCGGCGATATATTGATGTGACGTCAAGCCTAGCAACAAAATAACAGTAATATGGCGCCCTCAATAGTTCGTACACCGCCACACAGACGGGACTGCTGTATTCATCAATAGCCTTGATTACTATTCATTTATTTATATATTTATTTCATACACCATCCAACAGAGCAAGTGCCAAAGACGGATGGATAAATTGATTAATTTACAGTAAAACATTAAAAAAAATTACCAAATCTGCATAAGAATCAAGACATCAACAAAAAAACTTTAAAAATAAAAAAAGGCACAAGATGAAACAGGCCCTCTCTGAGCGTGACATGCCCCATGTATTCATATTAAGACTAGTACATGTACAATGTATAAGTCTTAACATCCATAATTTAGTCCCTGTAAAAACAAGAATCACTTTGCTTGGATATAAATCTGGAACGACACTTACAAAAAGTATTTGGGCTCAGCCCCCCCCCCCCAAAAAAAAATAGTGTGTTCACCTCAGTCCATCTGCGGCGGAATTAACTCTTGAAACTGACGCGCGAGGAAAAAATGCCGAAGTATCACAGCTTTCTAACATGTATGAAAATATGGGTATTACAATTATTATGTCCAATCTTTATCCCAAATTAAGTTGGAAACCTTACAGTTGTTTGGCATATTATATTATGTCGGGGCGTATCTTGAGTGGCTTTTGGCGCTGGCGGCGAATTTAAATTTGAGAAATGAAGCCTCAGCTAAAAGCTCTAATATTAATTACCAGCACGTTGTCGTAAAAGTTGGTACCTTGATCCGGTCTTAACTTTTTCTTTCAAATGGGGCTTGCGGTCGCTGCCGAAGTTTATTGAACGTGATGGGGATTAAGAAATAAAGGTCTGATATTTTCTACACAAACCCCCGGTGAAGGGGGTTTTGCATAGAAATTTTCAGACACCAACATTTACGACAATGTGTTAGTAATGATTTTGTGGAGCTTAAAACACTGTATTGTTATGGTCAATATTGATTCATTGTTTGACGGTTTCTTATGAAAATAAATCTCGCAATGTTTTAAACATGATGACAAATCACTAGACGAAAATTCAATTTAAAACTTCTATTTCTGGAGTTGTTGCCCCCCAAACGAGTTTGGTGGTGGATAATTATCGAGACTACTATTTATGTGGCGCGCACTCTATTAAATAAAAGAATATTGGTGCGGATGCCGCACTATTGAACAAAAATAACAACTCAGTTTCCGATCAATAACTCAAGAAAAACAAAATGTATTAAACTGAAATTTCGTGCAATTTATTTCCACGATGTGTAACAGAGGGGTATTGAATATCATGAGAAGCAGTTTAACGATAAAAATAATATGATCGTAATGGAGATCAATGATCGTAACAATGTAATGTTTTACACACGAAAAGTTCACATTGATTTTCATTCAAATTGCACTTGTCTCGCTTAAAACACTGTATTGTTACGGTCAATATTGCTCTATTTTTTGACGTTTTTTTATGAAATTAAATCTCATAATGTTAAACAAAATGACAAATCACTAGACACAAATTCAATTTAAAACATCTTCAATTTCTGGAGTTGTTGCCCCCCAAACGAGTTTGGTGGTGGATAATTATCGAGACTACTATTTATGTGGCGCGCCCTCTATTAAACAAAAGAATATTGGTGCGGATGCTGCACTCTTGAACAAAAAAGAACAACTCAGTTTCCGATCAATAACTCAAGAAATACAAAATGTATGAAACTGAAATTACGTGCAATTTATTTCCACGATGTGTAACAGAGGTGTATTGAATATCATGAGAAACAGTCCAACGATAAAAAATAATATGATCGTAACAATGTAGTGTTTTACACGCGAAAAGTTCACATTGATTTTCATTCAAACTGCACTTGTCTCGCTTAAAACATTGTATTGTTACGGTCAATATTGCTCTATTTTTTGACGTTTTTTTTATGAAATTAAATCTCATACTGTTAAACAAAATGACAAATCACCAGACACAAATTCAATTTAAAACATCTTAAATTCCTGGAGTTGTTGCCCCCAAAACGAGTTTGGTGGTGGATAATTAGGCCCCCCAAAAAAAGTCTCCGGTTTCTGGTATGGAGCTTGCCCCAAAAGTGGTGCGGCGACGCGGCTTTTTTTTGTTTTTTACCTGTTTTTTTTTTTTTTTTTGGCTTCAAATGTCGGCTGATGACTGCGAATGGTGCCCGACTAAACTTAGTGCAAATATATGGGAGTCCAGAGAGGCCACATAAAGCTTATTCTCGATCATAACCCCATCTAAAAACACGTTAAAATTGTGCAGCAGCAGGATTCCAGTCAAACCAGTGAGTTTGGCGGTTTTGAGACATCATCTTGTATTGAAAAAAAAACTTTTTCATTTTGCCGACGCGCATGGCTACGGCGACGCGCGCGCATACCAGAAACCGGAGACTTTTTGTTTGTTTGGCCCATTGATCTCCATAATATGGAGATCAATGGTTTGGCCTTATCGAGACTACTATTTATGTGGCGCGCCCTCTATTAAATAAAAGAATATTGGTGCGGATGCTGCACTATTGACCAAAACTAACAACTCAGTTTCCGATCAATAACTCAAGAAATACAAAACGTATTCAACTGAAATTTCGTGCAATTTATTTTCACGATGTGTAACAGAGGTCTATTGAATATCATGAGAAACAGTCCAACGATAAAAATAATATGATTGTAACAATGTTGTGTTTTACACGCGAAAAATTCACATTGATTTCCATTCCGATTGCACTTGTCGCGCTTAAAACACTGTATTGTTACGGTCAATATCGTTCATTGTTTGACGGTTTCTTATAAATTTAAATCTCGTAATGTTAATCAAAATGACAAATCACTTTACAAAAATTCGATTTAAAACATCTTCAATTTCTGGAGTTGTTGCCCCCCAAAAGAGTTTGGTGGTGGATAATTATCGAGACAACTATTTATGTGGCGCGCCCTCTATTAAATAAAAGATTATTGGTGCGGATGCTGCACTATTGAACAAAAAGAACAACTCAGTTTCCGATCAATAACTCAAGAAATACAAAATGTATGAAACTGAAATGTCGTGCAATTTGTTTCCACGAGGTGTAACAGAGGTCTATTGAATATCATGAGAAACAGTCCAACGATAAAAATAATATGATCGTAACAATGTTGTGTTTTACACCCGAAAAATTCACATTGATTTCCATTCCGATTGCACTTGTCGCGCTTAAAACACTGTATTGTTACGGTCAATATTGCTTCAGTGTTTGACGGTTTCTTATGAAATTAAATCTCGAAATGTTAAACACAATGAACAATCACTACACGCAAATTCAATTCAAAACATCTTGTTTTTCTGGAGTTGTTGCCCCCAAACGAGTTTGGTGGTGGATAATTATCGAGACTACTATTTATGTGGCGCGCCCTCTATTAAATAAAATATTATTGATGCGGATGCTGCACTATTGAACAAAAAGAACAACTCAGTTTCCGATCAATAACTCAAGAAATACAAAATGTATGAAACTGAAATTTCGTGCAATTTATTTCCACGATGTGTAACAGAGGTCTATTGAATATCATAAGAAACAGTCCAACGATAAAAATATTATGATCGTAACAATGTAGTGTTTTACACGCGAAAAATTCACATTGATTTTCATTCGGATTGCATTTGTCGCGCTTAAAACACTGTATTGTTACGGTCAATATTGCTTCATTGCTTGACGGTTTCTTACGAAATTAAATCTCGTAATGTTAAACACAATGAAAAATCACTACAAGGAAATTCAATTCAAAACATCTTGTTTTTCTGGAGTTGTTGCCCCCAAACGAGTTTGGTGGTGGATAGTTATCGAGACTACTATTTATGTGGCGCGCCCTCTATTAAATAAAAGATTATTGGTGCTGATGCTGCACAATTGAACAAAAAGAACAACTCAGTTTCCGATCAATAACTCACGAAATACAAAATGTATGAAACTGAAATTTCGTGCAATTAATTTCCACGATGTGTAACAGAGGTCTATTGAATATCATGAGAAACAGTCCAACGATAAAAATAATATGATCGTAACAAAGCAGTGTTTTACACGCGAAAAATTCAAATTGATTTTTATTCGGATTGCACTTGTCGCGCTTGAAACACTGTATTATTACGGTCAATATTGCTTCATTGTTTGACGGTTTCTTATGAAATTAAACCTCGTAATGTTAAACAAAATGGCAAATCACTAGACGAAAATTCGATTTAAAACATATTGTATTTTTGGAGTTGTTGCCCCCGAACGAGTTTGGTGGTGGATAATTATCGAGACTACTATTTATGTGGCGCGCCCTCTATTAAATAAAAGATTATTGGTGCGGATGCTGCACTATTGAACAAAAAGAACAACTCAGTTTCCGATCAATAACTCAAGAAATACAAAATGTATGAAACTGAAATTTCGTGCAATTTATTTCCACGATGTGTAACAGAGGTGTATTGAATATCATGAGAAACAGTCCAACGATAAAAATAATATGATCGTAACAATGTAGTGTTTTACAACCGAAAAATTAACATTGATTTTCATTCAAATTGCACTTGTCTCGCTTAAAACACTGTATTGTTACGGTCAATATTGCTCTATTTTTCGACGGTTTCTTATGAAGTTAAATCTCGTAATGTTAAACGAAATGACAAATCACTTCACAAAAATTCGATTTAAAACATCTTCAATTTCTGGAGTTGTTGCCCCCGAACGAGTTTGGTGGTGGATAATTATCGAGACTACTATTTATGTGGCGCGCCCTCTATTAAATAAAAGATTATTGGTGCGGATGCTGCACTATTGAACAAAAAGAACAACTCAGTTTCCGATCAATAACTCAAGAAATACAAAATGTATGAAACTGAAATTACGTTCTATTTATTTCCACGATGTGTAACAGAGGTGTATTGAATATCATGAGAAACAGTCCAACGATAAAAATAATATGATCGTAACAATGTAGTGTTTT